ATAATAAAAGTTAACTCTTTTTCTTGCCTTTGGTATCATGCTGTAATCTGATTCCACTCTGCTAGTTGGATTTGAAGCTGCACTCTTTATAGGAAGTTCTCCTTCATGTAGGCTAGTGGAGGAAGAATGAAACAAATTAGTAAAAATACCAGGAAAATGGAAGAAACTTTGATAGTGGAGATCACTTTCAAAGTTCCAATACTATGAAATCATCTATGCACACCTTGATATGAATGGCACACCACCACCACCTTAATTTTGTTCAAAAAGTGAAAGTATGAAGCAAAAGTAATTGTCTCTTCAATATCTTTCCTGTATTACTGATCAGCTTGAAGCTTGTACATGTAGCGCATGGAATGAGAGCTAGCTGCACGTACATGTGTATGTAGGTATGAAGTTATGAACTTTGGCTCACAAAGTTCTTTGAAGTGATTGGGACACAATGCATTGATGTGGATTTTTGTTTAAGTCAGACAAAGGGGTTAAAATAATGACATAATGGATGTTGCCGAGCATCTTCATTTTATTTTGAGATATAGATGCTTTATTTGTTGTAATTTGGAAAGAATCTATATGTATTCAATATTGAGCACTTCATATTTTTCACATATTTGTGGAAATTTGCATGCTGCACATTATTTTTATATTTAAACTATACCATTCATCTTGTTCACATTTTGCAGAAAATTTGTATGTTGCACAATATGTTATGTGATGGTTGTTTTGCTAGATTTACATAGAGATTATTATTTAAAGTGTGAATTAAAGGACATTGATAATAGTGTGCTGCTGTTTTTTTTTGTCTGCTGCAAATTTGTTTTCAGTTGCTTTGTTGCAATCGATTTTACAAATGTATTAAGTTTTTTGTTGTTCTATAATTTTCATTTTTAGATAGGAAGACATTATGGTTTATTTCTTTATTTCTTTTTTCTTATTTTATTTATTTGTTCATTATTATTATTATTATTATTTTTTTGATAATTAATTTATTTATCTTCTTAACAAAATTTTTTTTTTAAATCTATTTAAAAAAAAAATGTTTTTAAATTTATTTTTAGGGGGGGAGGGCAATTTCCATATATTTATCAAAAGAACTGTTTTTCACCTTTTTGATCTGTTCAGTACATCATGTGCGATACAATGTACACTTACTGATTGGCAGTGTTTACTGTTTATCCACAAGTCTACTGTTCCGTAGATTAATGTACATGTAAAACACAACCTTCTCTCGACATGTTTACTTCCTGTTTTTGAAGTCCCCCAACCCCTACTATGCTGATTCAATTAATGTTCTTCGCCCTTTCTTTAATTTGAGAGAGAAAAAATGCTTTTCAAATTCAATTTAAAAATGCAATATTTTTTACATTACTTTTTGTTCTCTGTTAACAGATGCGCTTCATAATGAGGACATTTTGGAATCTGAAGATGAAATGCCCTCTTTAGGGGCAGGTCATCATAAAGTACCTTCCTTTCAAGCCAACGGAAACATTCCAAGTGACAAAATGATGTCACAGTCGGCTCCATCCCGTGCAGTGAGCACGTTGTCAATGATGCACCCAAACAACAGGATTGGTCCCGCTGTCCCGCATGTAGTGGTGAAGAAGGAACATGCAATCGTTCTGCGCAAGTACAAGAAAAGGAGAGGATCCAATGCAAGCTCTCTCAACATGTTACAGCCAGAGGATGTAAGTCAATATTCAGTTGAGGCTCATTCAGATATGACACGGAAAACCGCCAGAAAAAAACTCCACCACATTTTATTAAAAACTTGCAAATGAAGGGCAATTGCGAGCAACCAATTTCCTATGTATATCTATACGTATTCACTTAGCTCTGTCTTATTATGTACAGATATATGAAACATATAACACTTCATGTCGTCATTAACAATTTTTAGCTGTTTACCACTGCATATCTGAACAAGGCTTTAGAAGAGAATTATCAATAATACGAAATGCAATGATGTCTTTTCCTTCAATTTTTTTTCAGAATTGTGCCCCTCCCCTCCCCCCCCAAAAAAAACACAACAACAAATAAATAGAATCTGCAAAGTCATGGATCCTCCACTGATTGTAATGGTTCTTTCTGTAAGCACTGGTATCATCAGTCCGTGGTCATTTCAGGAATGTTTCACTTTTGGATAGTTACATTAGATACAAACTTGCATAAACACATTTAATAGAATCGCCTAGTTCAGGAAATATAATGTCTAAGTAATATTGACACTAATTAAATTGTTCAAGTAGAGTGGGTTAGAATTTGATGTTAGTGAGCTATGAAAACAGGATGCTGCCCTCTACTGCTGCAGATAGAATAATGCTATCTGTGTGTGTATGTAAGTGTGAACTGAGGTGCAGGATGTCCCGCTATTTGCATCATCAATAAATCTTATGTCATATCCTGTTTGGTAAATAGTGATAGAAGATCCCCAAAAGTTTTGAAGGGATATACATGTACATGTAGATGGCATTCACTATTTCACTTGTTACTTTGAAAGTGAATTTCATTTTGATTCCTGAAGAATAATAATAATAATAATAGTGGGTTCTTGTATAGCGCTCATGTCAGTCAGATTTGACCCTCCTGGCGCTCCCGATTATTACCCTAGCTTTAGCACGGCTGCCATACGGCGCTATAGCATTTCAAGGAATAAATTCCTACCAGGTACCCATTTACTTCACCTGGGTGGAGTGTGGCAAATGTAGATCAATGTCTTGCCAATGGACATTAGTGCGGCAGCGGGACTCGTACCGCGGACCTTGTGATTGACAGTCCGGCGACGTATCCACTCGACCACAACACCTCTGAATAGGAGTATACCACACATTTCTCATTCTTCACATGTATAAGTTACCAGAAGACAAACTAATATCAATGAAGCCAGACTTAAAAGTTTTAGGGGGTTTGAAACCAAAAACTATACATTTGCTTTTAACAATAGACTGTAGGCCTACATATGGTACATGTATGTGGCATTGCAGCTTCTCTGTTATTTTTTTGGTGAAACTGATTTTAATAATGTAGTGATGCACATGTGGAAACATCGATGAAGTCATCATTTAATATTAGCTTTAAACAATTTACTATAAAACAGCATTTTGTTTATGTAAAGCCCCATTGGGATGATCCTGACTTTGCATCGTAGTATCTCTCTTCTCTTCTTCATATTAAAAAGTTGTTTGTGTGTGCTGTGTAATTCCATGCTGCTACAGTATATTCTTAAGATGAACTTCTAATGTTAATTCAATAAAGAGATATTAAAAGTTCAAATAATTTTTCAGTATACATGAAAATGACTTGTGAGTAAAGGAGTCAGTACCTCCACACACCCATATGCTGTGGCATAGAAACAGGGTGTTCATGGACCCCAGATCTGACTTAACTTTCTTCATTATCTTTAACCCTAAACTCATGGGATTTTCGGAAAAAGTTTTTTAAGAGGTTGATTTTATATAATATACACTTTAGCTATACACAAATGAATTTGTCAGGTTATTGGTCTCCATTTTGCTACTGGATTACCATAAAAGCTATGAGATGGCAATATCATCCCATAAGTAATGAAACAAAATTTTATAGGGAGAAGATACAGAAATATTGGGAAACTAATGAAAAATTAATAAAGAAATAAAAGAATTTCTGAGCAAAGAACATATTATTTTCTATCATTTATAGTTGTCATTGGATAATGTACATGTACAATTTGAGGCCTAAACAACAGTATGTCTACTGGTAAATATGTTTTATGTAATTCAAATTGTAAGATTGTATTTGAGCGGTACTGATCCATGCCATATACTTTGGCAAATGCGACCCATTGCACTAGTTTTTATGAGGTTAATAATTATAATTGCTTTCTTGTTCCCTCCAACTAAAGAATTTAATACAAAAAAAAAATGTATTCAGACGTATCGGTACTCAGGAGAGTATTGTTGAAGGATGTCAAGGTTGGTTTCACAATTGTGTAGTCGTGCAGGAAATGTTCACAGCGTACTTTGGATTGGCTGAAAGTAGTAAAAGATACATCTTATATAGAATGGCAATGAAAATGAAACTTACTTTACTTTGAACTACATTTGTGCACCAGGATACAAGTGATACACTTTAAGTAACTTGATAACATTGACAAGGTGTCTTGAAAATACAGGTACATATGGGTTATATCATTTGTTTAGAAGAAACATTTCAATTGAAATCTTATGTACCTATTCCTGTTTGGTACAATATTACTTTTTAGAATACACATTATTGGTATCCAAATTGTGGTAATTTCTGTTTTATTCTTACTCTCTTCTGAATCAGGATTTTGTCAGTATGTAGCTCTCATTTAGTTTACATTAACAAATTGTGAAGCCAAATTTGCATGCAGTATATTGTTGGTTGATATATGAATGCAAAATTTCTGGTGTTTATGTAACTAGTCTATCATCAGCAGTCCTATTTTGAAATGACACAACTAATTTGGAACACTTTTCCAGGACCTACAATGGTAGTCTACATGTACTGTAATCAAACTCTGATGAGTCTTATTCTATGGTTTGGCCTGCAAATTAACAGTATGAGTTTGCGGAACAAAGTAACTCAAATATTTATTTATTCAATTTAATGTGTATTGAATTAATGACACTGCAGAAGAAAACTGTTAGAATACATTCTGTGATACAAGACTAGTGTAATGCTGATATACCATAGTAACTTGAATTTTTGATTATAAATGAAACTAAATGATTCATCACAATTTACCAACATTTAAAAGTCCCTCAATTACTTGATGTACAACATCAATTTGGCTCTACCTGTAATGATTAGTACAGATGGCCTATATGTAACTTGCAAAAGTTAATGCAAAGGTGCTGAGCAGCCTTTTCCTGTATCGGTTCCCCTACAAGGAAATTCTGTTGGCATGTTCCATTCTAAAGTTTAGGGGTGATTTGAACTTGAAACCAACCAAAGCAAATTAAGTAGTAGGTGAAAGAGAGAGAGAGAGAGAGAGAGAGAGAGAGAGAGAGAGAGTGAGAGAGAGAGAGGGAGAGAGAGATAGCGCAATATGTTCACTGCGCCAGACCATATCAGACCAGTCTACTGTTTGACAAGTTTGTGGAGAGGACTCCTCCTCAAACAGAGCCAGATTCTCTTTTCAAGTGGAATATGAATGATTGATATCCAGAATATATTTGATCAAAGGATGACGAAGTGCTCTTAAGATGTTCTTTGGATTTGAGATTCACCAGTTACAGACTCTGTCACAAGTTTGGAAGGAATCTTGTGGAGTTCAGGAGGGTGTATGTTAGCTCATCAACCCTAGATGTGATCCCTTTGCATGAATCCTATCTTCAGACGTCCATAATTTGACTTGTGTATGATATTTGTTTTGGTAACCTCCTTTAATACTAAATTTGCTGTGAAACACACACTAAACTAATCATTCTGTCGAGTCATTGACTGTATGTTTGTGTGAGGTAACTTGCTTGTTTTGCACCCCACTTCCTTTTGTTAACGGAAGCAACAGGGGGCGAGACTAAAACTTTACCGAGATGTGCTAGAACTGTAGTGCAGAAAGTTCCCGTGTCTTTTTGCATGTTGGTTGAACTGAAGTGGCTTTAAAATGAGTGACAAGAAAAGACCCTCATTTGTAAGGCAGTCGTCTACAGATGGAAATCGTGGTGGAAGTCTTTTGAGAACACCGAGCCTGGCTGAACGTAAAAACAGTGATCGAAGCGATCCTGATGTATCTAAAGTGGAAAATACACTTTACGATCTGTTAGAAGAAGAGGAGAATCAAATTGTACGTAATGAAATCCTTATCTTATCTTTCATGTAATGGAAAATCATGTGCACTTCAGATTATTTTGATGCACTAGTATCAAATGAATGCTAGCAAATTCATTGCATTTTCATCATGTGCTGTAGTTTCTCAAATATTGTTTATTTTTGTGTTGTTGTCAGAAAATCTCCCAGTGTATTTCCATTTATTTGTTTATATACCGGTATTCAATTAGATTTTTTCTTATAAAATTTTGGTAGTTAAAAAAGTACTTCTCTAAAATACATGTCTGCCCTGTTTCTCCATTACCGAATGCTTTATCATACTCTCCTTGACATGAATTCTGTTCTTGTGTCATAAATAATTCCAAACATCTTTGATGTTTCAAACCATTAAACCAAAACAATAAATCAAAATTGTTACAGAAATCATAATCACCAAGGCTTTTGCTAGAAATGAATGGGACTATTTTGTTCTTTTGTTAATTCAAAATACATGTATGACAGTTCAGATACAGTTATTCGTTTATGATGTACACTGTTTAAAAAATAGAATCCATGCCACAACATGCACCTACTACATTTACCTACTACATTTACCTCAAAAGTGATTGGCTTCATATTATTTTCATTTTAAAAAAATCATCCTAAAGGGGATTTGCTAAATTTAATGGAAGTTATTAGCAAATGATATACAGTGTAGATTCACTTGAAGACCCTGAATGTGTTATAACTAGTTATATAAAGAACATGATTCTTAAAAAAAAAAAAAAGTTCATTCTCACTTTTGAGCATTAAATGAAGATTTCTCCCTTTAAAAATAGGCGAGAGATTTGTCAGGCTGAAAATGCACCAGTTCCGTTCAAAGTAAATATGGGGAATAATAGTTGTTGAAATCCTTGGAAGGTGATTTCTTTTCAATCTGAACATAAGATGTGAAGTGTGAAGTTTAGTACGTAGTAGGGCTTGCATGTACAATTCTCTGTGAATTGTATAAACTGCAACAAAGTGAAAATCTGAAAAGAACTCTAGCAAGTATACATAACTTTGAATAAAAGGGTGCATTAATTGTTTGAGTTTTTGTTTGTTAATTTGGTTTTAATGCAATTTTAGTAAGTCAGATCCCTGTTTCCTGTGGAAGACAATTCACGACATCCTTTGATTCTTGTTCAAAATCCTTATTATTTAATGGAAGCTCCCTATTAGTATTAGGGACATCTTAATTTTCATTTAGGCATTCATTTTTTTCAAATCCTGGTTGAAACAGTGGTTTGGTATGAGTCATACATGTATCATGGTCAGTAAAGTTGTGGAGGTGGGACCATGGGGAAAGGGGGGGGGGGGGGTCATCCATTCATGTACATGTATACATTAAATTTAGGATAACTATTGCGTTGTGCCTATTTTGAGCAGGTTGAAGGGCAAGAGTGGGTGGTTGACTAGTGTAGAACTGTAGATGAAGTGATTTTGGTGGGTTGCCGACCATGCAGTACAGTGTGTGTATTTTGCATGATGGAAGAGGGACTAGCTGTTTGCCTCTATCCTTGTCTAGCCTCATGCAATCCTAATCAAAGCATTTAGTCATTCCACAGAGACTCTACATCCTTAGCCATTTCATGTTGCTGGTCAGGCAGTGGCAGATCAAGGATTCTCAGGTTCAAGGGGAGGGGCTATAGGGGTGGGGGGCAGAAGGTCATCTTGTTTTGCAGGTGTATTTTGGGGTCGCAAATTGTTGCTGGAGGACAGAAAGGGACATATTTTATTCTGGTAGTATTAAGTTTTGCTATTGGGGGTGGGGGGGGGGGTACCTCCATACCCCTGTGCCCCTGGATCTGCCACATCATGCTGTTAGTAGTACCCTGTTCATGTCTGACTTGATAATCCAAACAAGTGATGGGTCTTACATAGCTCAAATAATTCCAGGGATGAGATGTGTCACTACTGATACAAACACAGTTGGGTTCATGCAAACCATAAATCTGGTATAATAAACCCGGCCTGTCCGTGATAGAGCTTGGCATTTACATCAGACTGAGTGTGCTAATTATTGTTGTATAGATGTACATGTAGGCCTGTAGCTATAATTACCTGAATCATTAACACTCTGACAGATTTGATTTGTTTGAATTGCTGATTATCCTTTCATGATTTCTCTAGAAAGAATATTACAGGTCTCAGTAGCAGAAGATTATCATGGATTCCCTGTAAATTTAGGTCTCATCTATAAATAACAAAATCTATTTTGTGTTTATGTAGGAGATAAAATATTGCACTGCATGCCTGTGTGCCTATTCACCTATATACTGTATATGTTCTTTCATATGCATGAAGTTCAGACTAAATATACCTGATGCAATTGAATGTTGTGGTTCATACATGTTACTGATTTATTTATTGATTTAGCAATCAATTAATAAATGGTTTCAAAGAAATGACATACCAGTATTAAGGTAGGTTTCACTTTCTGTATGATTGTTTAAATTACAGATCATTCAAATTGTAAATTTTTGGTCTTATCAAGAAAGTATGTGCTTCTGGTGTAGGTCTATATACGTCAACGTAACTTATTGTTATCTATTCTTAAAATGTACAGACTAATCCATCATGGATCCGAGAGAATATTCTTATGAGAGAGTGTACTCGCTTCACTCCGGCACCACCTGATCCCAAGGATAGAAAGTAAGTAAAAGTTTCCCAGATTTTTTTTGATTTTTCTTTCTTCTTGCTGTTCCTGATATGTAATTTAGAATAAATGAAAGTGAATATACCTTGAATGTTTAGGGGAAGAGAGAAAGAGAGAGAGAGAGAGAGAGAGGGAGGGGGGGGGGGGCAGAGATTTACTTAGTCCATAGCCTGGACTATTTTCATGTGTCACGCACCAAATCAGCTGAGAAAACAACACACCCACAACGCTGAACCCGTGACAGTAGTCCTTGCCTCTTATTCTGTTCTTTTGGACGATTGTTTTTTTTGGATACTGCGCTGTGTGTGGGAAGCATGTGATTGAAAAATGAAAATGAATTAAAACTGATAGTATCTGGACTAATAGTTACCTCGAGGAAGAGTCACAGGGAAAGTGAAAGAGTTAGAGGCCGGAAGTTAGAGGTGAAAAGAGAAGGATACAATTTGTAATCATATTACCGTGATTGTGTGAATATAAAGGAAAAAGAGGTAAACAATAGAGAGAAAAGTGGACGAGGGGGGGGGGGGGTAAAAAAGGGGAAATACAGTGTAGAAAATGAAATTAAAGAGAGTTAATAAATACAAGATGAGAAAGAGAAAGAGATAGAGAGAGAGAAAAAAGACTGAGACAGAGATGAGTAAGAGACTGAGACAGAGATGAGTGAGAGAGAGATAGAGAGAGAGAGAGGAGAAAGAGAGAGAGAGAGAGAGAGAGAGTCAGACAGAAGAATAAGAGAGAGACAAATTGAGAGAGACACAGAGAGAGAGAGAGAGAGTGAGAGGATTCAGTGTCTTTAAAGTGGTTGTTTTTACCAATTTTAGGAGAGATGAGGACCCCAAGTGCCAGTGCAAAAAGAGGAAGAAGAAACATCAAGACAGATTTTTGGAGAACCCAGACCCAAGTGCCAAATGGAAGGTAGAAACCCACACCCACACAATTGCCACCAATGCCTATGGAGAGATAGAGTTCATAGGAGCTGTAGGAGGGGCTGTTGGGCAGAAAGCAAGGAAGGTACTTTTAGTATTTGTTTTTTGTTTATTTTGTTTTGATTTTTTTTCTTCCCCTTTTTGAGGGGGTTATTTGTCTTGCTATTTGTTTTCACTTTTTTTTAAATGGATGACATGTAAATGAGATGATAGGAATCTTGATATCCATCATGTTACACATAGTGAGCCACCCTCCCCAACCAACCCCCCCCCCCCCTGTTACTTCGTCCATGGTTTAACGAAGTCTGAAAGGTGAAAATAGTCTTATAAAACCACCCCCAAACTAGTCCTTCTTTGATAGTCTGGATTCAGACAACAAGGTATCCTTTGCTACCCCTAAACTCTCTTGTCAGGATTGCAAGGAAGACTGACTTTGATTATTTGATTTATAATTCATATGAAAATAGTAAAGAAAATATACAAATGAATCCAGAGTGTGTTATTCATATAAATTATGACTATTATTTTGTATGTATAGACAAATTATTGTTGTTTGACATAACTTGTTATAGTAGGTTTATAGCATCTTGTGATTGGTCACTTGTGTTTTTCTTCCTAGTTCATAAGAGTGGATTATGACACCGCTCCATCCAAGCTTCTCTCGCTCTTTGAAGATGTTTGGAAGCTAACCAAACCTAAACTCCTCATCTCAGTGACTGGAGGAGCACAAAACTTTCCCCTCAATCACAGACTCAAAGATGTCTTTCGTAAAGGACTCATCAAAGCCGCTACCAGCACAAGTAAGTTCCCCTCTGCTTTTTGTTATATTGATGTAGTCATTATTTGTTTATTTACATTGATTGATTGATTGATTAATTTATGTATATATTAATTTTATTAATTAATTAATTTCCTAATTGTTATTTATTCATTTATTTATGTAACTTTTTTTTTTGGGGGGGGGGGGGGATGGGGGTGGGAGTTGGTATTTCAGATTCATCCCTACCGTAAAAACTTTAGGAAATATCTTTATAACGAGTAAAAAAAGGCTTGGGAATGTTATGATATTGGCAAAGGCAGCTCCAGCTGTTATCCATAGCTGTACAAGTAGTTGGGTCAATGTCATGTCGAAGGTCAATCTTGTCTGACCTGTTACAATGCATTTCTGCATAACTTCTCTGAAATATACCAACTCGGAGCTGGCTTGACAGTTAAAGGGAGTTAAAGGGAGCAGTTCTCAAACTTTAGTCCATTTATTTCAGAAAGTTGTTAAGCTCCTATGTTTCCGACTCAACTTCATGCCATTGGGGTTTATTTGAGTTTTCATGATTGGTTAGAATTTTGAATGTTCTTATAATTTACGTATGTTTTATTTTAGAAAATATGTTTTATTTTAGTTAATAAAAAAAAAATCCCTTTTGGGTATTGATATTCCCCCTGTGTCTGAAGCCATTAACCTGAAATGATCAAATTTCCATCTTTTCACTTTGATGATAGGCTTGTCTGTAATAAGCAGTGAGAAATGGCTTGTACATTTGGTACCAGTATTCATTACAATAGATTGTAAAAGCTTAGTTTTGGCTCATTAAGTTTTCAAATAGGTCATCGTAATTGGCTACCATAGAATAGTTCAATTTTCAAGGTCACATTTTGGGGAAATCATAGCCATGACATTCCTCTAGTTTGCTCATTAGTTTGATTTACAGGGATCTAGTTTTACTTTTATTTGATTGCTCTACTTTTAAGATTCTCTTTTGTTTCCTAAAATGTGATAATTAGACAACCTTACTCCATTTAGCCTTTATAGTCTCAGTAACTAAATCAACATGAATAATAACAATAATGACAACAACAACAAAAGTTACAGCAGCTGCAATAGCAAAAATGACATCAGTAATGATAACACCAGCAACACCAAATATAAGCATTTACCATGCTGTACATAATATGACAATATCATAGCATTTACACAATTTATATGATACAGTCAAACCTGTCTATAACGACTGCCCAAGGGAATCACAAAAAGTGGTCTTTGTAGACAGGTTCCTTTAGTACATGTTTCAATGAGAAACCATTTTCAAGGGAAACAAGAAATTTGGTTTTTGTAGACAGGGGGTCACTAAAGCAGGTTTGACTGTAAATAATATTGAATAAACTTAACATGATCACTGTTTTCTTCTCTAGGTGCCTGGATCATTACGGGAGGCACCCATGCTGGTGTGATGAAGTATGTAGGAGATGCTGTGAGGGACCACAACCTTGCCAACGGACGGAGCAATGTAGTCGCCATCGGTATAGCATCATGGGGAGTAATCACAAACAGGGAAAAGCTCATAGATGACAATGTAAGTAGCAGGCATTATATTTTCTGATTTTAAATCAAAATTTCTGGATTTAAATCCAATTCTTAGATCTTCAGATATTTTTACAAGATCCAATTTTTTCCGTTTGCTTTAAAAACAAGCACGCATGAACATGTTGTAAACAATCTAAGATGATAGTCTTACATTATGTAATCTCTCGGTATGTTTTATCTCTCCTTTTTATATATATTTTTTCATGGGTAATTATATCCTTCCCAATAAGAATAATTATTAGTCATTTACTGATTTTCTAAAGCAATCACTCACTTTATGTTTACATTTGGTGCCCAATCATTGTAAGTTCACTAATCTTTAGACATTGATAACTCATTGGCATACTAGTGGGAAGTGGCAAAGGATGGTATTAGTTTTGATTATAGTCATGGCTTAAAGGTTCCATTTCGTTTATTTTGAACTGTGACTCAAAATCAACCCAAACTATTCTACATGCAAATGGTAAAAGGACAATCAAAACATTATTGAAATGGTCTGAAGCAATAAAATACCATGCCCTTAACAGTCTTGACTGGTTTTGTGTCGTTATCTATTTTATGGGTTGCAAATGACTATCTAAACTACTGTGTACTTAATTCATACTTTATGCCTACTTCCAAGGTATGATATTATGATCACAGATGAGCAGTCACAGTACCTGCATGTACAATGGAAGACAATATCACTAGACACACTCTTCAAGTACGTGTATCGGAGAGAGATACATCATTGTTTTATACTTCCTTGTACCGTGTATCAGAGAGAGATACATCATTGTTTTATACTTCCTTGTACCTAAGACATTATTAACATGAAATACTTGATCAGGGGGGTGTTTCACAAAGATCCTAAGTTGGAGTAATCTTTAAGTTGGACTTAACAATTGTGGAAAGCCGTTAGCATCTTTGAAACTATTTGTGAAATTTATTTTAAATGGCATAAAATGTTGATTCTAATCATTCTTATTTTCTAATATCAAGGAGATTTCATGTTTGTGATGTGAATTTATGAAAAGTATAAAATACTTAAATTTTTGCTTTTGAATATGTTTTATTTTGAGGCTACAAATGACTCTCCATCATGTTGAAGTCCAACTTAGAGTTACGCTCTACATAAGATCTTTGCGAAACGCCCCCTGATTTATCATACATACATGTATTTGATAACAGAAATCCCTGAACAAAAGGCAACCCTAGATTTTGTAGTCTACAGTTTTCCATGTTGGAAAAAAATGAATACAAACACAAAAGGGTAGCACAGCAGGAGAATGAGATTTGTACTGTGCCAATCAATTCATGATAAGAAATAAATGTGAGAGAATTATACATGCACTGTGTCATTGGTGGACTGTACTTTAATTTAGCAAGATTTTTTTTTTTTTAATCATGAAAAAAAAAATCTTTGTTAATTTGCATTCCTTTTTACGCACTAGTGAACAAGTTTATCCACCCGTACCCAACTTGCGGCCTATAGTTGTTCTCTATTTTTTTTCCCCATACGTGGGAAATCTGGGTGAAATGAAATATTTGTAACCCTGTAAGTTGGGGCTCTGATCGGATCGGAAGATCGGAGCGACACCCTCGCACCTTTGATCGGTATCGGATCGGAAGAGCGACAAAAAAAATCGGCCGATGATTTTTTTTTTTTTTTTTTTTTTTAAATGACGAAATTTTTCAAGTTTTTGGCTATCAAATGCTCAAAAAAAGTTCATGGCTGGGATTATTTTGTCATTTGGAGTTGTTGTAGACCATGTTTGTTGATATTTTGTGCCTTTTCATGACTTTGAAATTAATAATATTGGTCTAAGAGCAGAGGCAAAACATGCGGGCCGCCATCTTGGATTATAATGTAGGTATGCATTATAATCCAAGATGGCGGCCCGCATGTCTTGCCTCTGCTCTTAGACCAATATTATTAATTTCAAAGTCATGAAAAGGCACTAAATATCAACAATCATTGTCTACAACAACTCCAAATGACAAAATAATCCCAGCCATGAACTTTTTTGGAGCATTTGATAGCCAAAAACTTGAAAATTTTCGTCAAAAAATTGCCGATTTTTTTCCGATCATTTTAATTGATCGGCGATCGGAATTTTTTCACCGATCACCCCTGATCAGATCGATATCGGCGGCCGATCCGATGATCGTTTACAGGGTTAAATATTTGTACTTACTTACCAGGGCATTCCGGTATCCTTAAAGGGCAATCCAACCCTTGTAATAAGTTGATTTGTATGAAAGCAGATAAATAAGAGAAACAGAATAGCAAAAGTTTGAAATGAATTAGACCAATAGTAACATGAAGTTATGAATGTTTGAGGTTTTGAGATTGTATGTAAATTGTAAATCTCAAATTGGTAGTTTGGTTTATAGTGGATTGTGACGTAGGACGTGGATAACACTCCTAGTTTCTGTGTACAAATATATCACTTATTTCTGTTTTTCTCTTGGGGCACTACTCAAAATATATTATAGATAGCATACTTGTAATATTATCGGTCTTCTGAAAAGGATAGACCCTCCTGAGCCATGAATTTTTGAAAAATTAATTTTTAGTAATGTTATATGTTGGAACAGATGGGAAAGTAGTCTGGCACTACATCACATTGACATTACCACTTCAGCCAATTTGAAGCCCCCATATGTTTAATGATTACAACTTTCAAACATTCATTGATTTATTTGATTTGATTTGATTTATTTATTTCTGTTTGATTTTCTTTTTCTTTTGCACTTTTACAAATATATAACAAACAAAACATTGCCAATTTTACACAATCATGACAAAAAAATACATGTAGTATAAGTAAGACTGGCTGTAACTAATCGAAAACATCAAACAGGAGGGTTGACAAAGTAAGCAAAGCTTGATAGCATGACTACCCTCAATGAATACTTAATAAATACAAATAGGGAGGAAAACATATTGGTAAAAAGGGAAAAGAGAGAGAGAAAGAGAGAGAAGAAAAAAAGAAAAAAAAGAAAAAAAGAAAAAAAGAAAGAAGGGGGTGTAAATCAAGATTTACAGATGTATGTAGTAGTTGGATTTCAATTTGATATATAAAGATAAAAACAAGTCAGATTCATTTGAAACTTTCATCAGTTTGCTTCTCTAATTTTTCTGCTTTCGTTTAGAGTAGTTTTCTATTTGGGTTGGATTTCCCTTTAATACTGGATGTAATTGGTTGGTTTATTTACAACGTAACAAGATCAGTATATACTTAGTATTATGAATTATGTGACTATAATTTGCAAATATTTATCTTTAAGTATACACTTTTTTATTTGCCTTATAAAAGCTCTGATATAACGTGCCAAAATCATTCAAGAAATGTCTCCCTTGTGGGGATATGGTTGGATATAATGTCAAATGCAGTAATTTCTAGTGTTCTTTAGCTAGGATCGAACAATGGTGAGCCATATTAATTAACCTATAGTTCTACAATATATCCATGTGTACTTTATTACATCAAACCCCCTACATACTTACATGTAGATTACTGGTTGAAAATCATTTAATATTTATATTCGAGTGGAAAAAAGTGGAAAAAAGTCGACTTTGTACCAAGCATTAATGGTATTGTTTATCTTGTAGTTATTAAGTATTATTCTGCAACATGTAAGATCAATAACATGTTGACTTTTGTTGATACCAAAATGATTTCCCCTCGAATAAACATGATACTATTATTAGATTAAAGGGAATAATTTGACAAGGCTGTGCAAGAAGTTGAATTGTTTTCAAATTAGTCTCAGAGTGTAAGAAAAATTGTCCAAAATAGTTCAGAGGATGATTATGACTATGTTAAAGGTAATACAAAGTTTTGGTATGGGGTAATGAATTTGGTTCAAATGAACATATTGGAAGCATATGCGATCCTACAATATTCAGTGATCGTTGTCGCGGTTGAAATTGAGTCTTAAGTTATGAAATTGTAAATAATAAACTCTTAATGATGTATAGCTCCCTCTCAAGGTCAAGATATTAATTAAGCTATAAAACAATGTTTCTTGACTAAAATCGACTGATCAACTATTCCTGTTTGGAAATTATATATCACAACTACTTATTCTGAAATTTTCATGATTGCAGCTACCATCGTACGGCCGTAGGTGCTATTTGAAATTTATCAAAATTTACCGGGAGCACCGGTACATTTTTATATTCAATTTTTCTCGAAAGCAGAAGTGTTTTATAGGCTAATTTTTGTAGTGCTTATAATACATCCACAGGGGCATCCAAATATATCAAAATTGTAAAGAATCACTCTCCACCCAATTTTCAAAATTTCCCAAAACTTTGTATTACCTTTAAGGAAGAAAAAAAAAAAAGGTTCACTATGAAAAATACTAGTAATAATAGAAATTCAATTAATGATGTGTTATTTGGGAATGATAGAATGCTGTCATGATGTTATATAAAAAACTGTCTTAAAAAGATTTTTAAAATTCTAAAAATATAAGATAGGTGACTGACAGACTGTTTTCCATGACTAATTAATCTGTCGATCATTGCAGCAGATTTGTCTAAGAATTTATGGACTTACAGGGATCTTATGAAAAGGTTTTCATTGAGTTGATCTGTCATTTTAACCTGATTTGTCTAGAATTCAAGGCTATGACATGCCTGTTAATCGTATAATCTTTAAGGATAAATTGTATCCTCGTGGCCTCGGTGAAAATCTCAATACCGGTAGTGGAAATGAACCATTTGTCAACCTGGAAGTTTGTCTAAGAATTGGAGATCCTGAAATAACTTTGTTGTTACAATCCGTAAGGATCGGTTTGTGATTATTTGTGTCAGATAAACTGCATAAAATGGATCATGATGACTTCCAAAAAGTGTTTTCTTGATATTGATCCCTTGTTAAAGGGATGATTTGGTGATATTTTTCTTTAAAAAAGTGTCAATTAACTCACATCTATTACTTCCTCCCTCTTCTAACTTAACAGGGCAAGTTCCCAGCTTCCTACAACATGGATGCCAAGAAAAGCAATACAATGAACGTGCCTCTTGATCCAAACCACACCCATTTCATCCTGGTTGACAAGGGGAGGGTAGACCAGTTTGGTGAGGAGATAACACTCAGGGGCAAGTTGGAGAAGGCCATTTCAGAGGAGCAAATACAAAAATCCTCTGGAAAACCTGCACGTGAGTTTTATTAGGCATATCTTTCCGATATGTGTTGAAGGGAATTAACAGCATGGCCCGTTATTACAAATGTTGATTTTTTGTTGTTGTATCACCCAATGGGTTTACTACGATTCATTTCATATAGTGAAATCAATGTGAGGAAACTGTTCATTTGCTTTAAAGTGCAACGTACCCTACATATATGATTCTAAATACATGTATGTGATGAGGCATAAACAGAGAATTGTAATAATGATAAAACCAGGTTATAATAAAAGCAAACAAAATTTGATAAAATGTAGAAAAAGAAGAGCTACACTGCAAACATTACACAGCTTGTATGAAAAGTTGAAAACAATATGCATCATATATAAAGTAGGTACTTGTCAATATATTTACCAGTCATTAAAGTTTAAACCATGAAAACAAATAACAACATTTATTAGAGGAGCATTTCTCTAAAGGATTGGGGGGGGGGGGGGGGGTATAAAGTGCACTTTGTATAACATACCTGAAATATTTTTTCCCTTTCTTTTTCATTGCACTTAAGACTTTTAATTTCAAAGTTATTGTGTTCTTGTGTTTATGTCAGGGTCACAAACATTTTACGCTACTTATGTAACAGTAACTGACTACCAGTACCTTTCTTGTCTCTTGGGTAGAAATACAAAACCATGGAGAGTACAGCTTTTACTATTTCAGGCTGACACACACCCCATTTTGATCAACCAAATATTCCAATCTTTGTATACCAGGATGTTTACAAGGTGCTTGTATTACAATATTTTGGTCCATCGATCTTTGTGTAAAGCCATATTTTCTTTTTAAATGTAGAATTGACCACCAAAAAAGTGGTAAAATTGCAGGTACCGGTATATGTATATAAAATTGTGATAATTAATAGTTAGTGAAAGATGGAGAATGATCGAGCAGGGTTTGGTCACTTTGGTACATTTTCAAAGTCTTGTAAAAAGCATTTCACAAATGAATGGGACGGCTTACATGTACATTAAATCTTGAAACAATGTAGCAATGAATCTTAAAGTTTAAGAAAATGTCATTGTTAACAGAAAGTCTTTCAATATTTACTAGGAGTAATGTTTTTATGTTTTTGAAGATGAAATAGATTTTAAGAATTGCAGTTCTTATAAGTAATTTTGTTTTCAGCATTTATAAAGGTATTATGTTAAAGTATTTCCTTCAGTATTAAATCAAATATGACAAATTATTTTGTAAAAATGACCCTTATAGAGACAAAGTAATATGACTACTAAAAATAGTACTATATTCTTTCTTCCCTCCCTCTCTCTAAGAATTAATGTCCACTCCAATAAAAACTTTGCCAACTTGTTTCAATTAAATCTCTATACTTTCAGCTGTGTCAATACCTATCGTATGTGTGGTCGTGCAAGGTGGACCCAACACCATTCAGACGGCTTATGAAGCCATCCGAAACGGCACCCCTGTCGTTGTAGTTGCTGGATCAGGGAGGGCAGCAGACATCATGGCCTATGCATTCCAACACACCAAAGAATACAAGACGAAGGAAGGAAAGAAAGAAATGTAAGCTCTTGGGTCTTGTTCATAAAATTATGAACAAGATGAAAGAAAGAAAGATTCTTTCTTGAAAAATTAACTTCTTGATTTTTCATCCAATCATGATTGCCTATTTACGATTTCTGTTTGTTTTGTGGATTTGCGTTGAAATACAACGTTATTACCTCAGAGGCCCATGTAGCTGTAAGCCAAGGTACAATCTACTAGTTCTACCTGACTAGGAACTGAACTTAATTTCTAGAACTTTTGTGAATCATGATATTTACGAAGAAAGCTTCACCAAAACCTCTTTCAGTCACTTCAAAGTTCATGTACTTGTCAGGAGTTCTTACTCACTAAAGACATCACCAGCTGTTATATGTGACATGCAAAGGCACATTTTAGTACATTGTCATCGGATAATCATTTTGGGGACAATCCTACTTGATATTTCACAATAATTTTTTAACAATTCTTATATCAGGCCAAGAGCGTTTTAGGGGGTTCAATACATATTCAGTACTTTTCAAGAATGAGTATTAGTCATCCAGAAGACTTGATATGAATTTTCACAGTCAAAAAGGTATTGTATTTCTAATATTGGTATATGATAGCTCTTTTACATGTATCTTCTCAAGTTAGGTATTCCTCTATTATTGGTTCATTGTTGCTCTTTCATTTCCTTATCCTATTTATAACCTCTGATATTAATAGTATATCTGATAGCTCTTTAGTGAGAATGAAATAGAAAGTTGATGCACATATTCTAGTAGATAGAGACTAGGAAAGAACAATTATGTAGAAATTTAAGCACTTAACTTTCCAATAAAAAGTAGAACTAATTATCAAGAGAAACCGATAGAGATGGGTATACAGTATATGAATAGAGAGAGAAAGAGCGAGAGAGGGGGAGATGGCTGACATTCAAAAAGGAAGGCTAGACTAAACTAACCATATAAGCTGAGAAGAAAATAGGAATGGTGTTGAGGGAAGATAGGAAAGGGAATTATAATGGAGAGGAAGAGAGAATGAAAGAAAATAGGAAGTAAAAGCAAGATTGAAAAGAAGAGACAGGGGAGAGAAGAGGGAGCATGTGAGCGAGAGAAAGAAAGAGGAATAGAATCAGATATATAATGAAAGAGAATGTTTGTTCATAACCAGGTTTAATTAGTATCAATATTTGTATTCCTTCTTACAAAAAAGTGTGATTGATTCATTTAATACAGTTTTATTACATGAGTGAGTCTCTGTATATATATGTTTGTGCATATGCTGACATTTACATTTTCTGTTCAGGCAAAGGTTTTGCTTTTAGATTTGGTAGAACTTTCATGCAATTCCCACGATGTTAAAATAAGGTGTGACATTTCCAACATTACTCACTTCCAGATCAGATATTTCTAATGTACACCCACTTCAGATGTCAGCATATATTTGTTTTCAACCATACTATTCCTTCAACCTACATAAATATATTAAATATTTGTTTGCTTTCAATTTCTAAAGGGTTATTTGCTTATTATACATCAGAATCTGTTGTGAGACTATACATATTTATTCTTTGATTTTTAATGGAATGGAATTTGGATAAGAGATGATTTTATGTCATACTCCTTTATAGCTTGACTATTTTAATTTTGAATAAGCTAGTTATCTTATTACGAGATAAGATAAGTAAGCATGAACTTCATTCTCCTTTTGAATAATAAATATTGGGCATTGGGTGAATGTGTTAAATTGTTATTTGAAATTCTGTAACTAAAAGTAAAATTGCATTTTCACTTGTGACTAGAATTCATATTTTCCATTATTACTTTTTTTGGGGGTTGCAATTTGCTATCATACATTTTAAATGTATTTATCTTCTTTCTTGGACAAGCCCACAAAGGAATCATATTCCTGCTACTATTTAGAAGAGTAATATGTTGATTTATGTCTGTATGGTGAAATTTAATTCAGTTAAGCCTACATTAATGTGGGCTTATCCTGGTAGAACTGAACATAGTTGATCGATGTCAGTCCCTCTGTCATTTGTAATACATTGTGTAAGTACAAACCATGTCTGCCTTTGTAGCTCGTTTCAGGAGGATATCCTGTTCAGAGTAATTCATCAGAGATACTTCCGGTAGAAAGAGATATAGATTAAGTGAGGAAGGTCATAATCAAGGAAAGAGGAAGAGAGATAGAGGGGGGGGGGGTTAGAAGAAAAGAGGATGTAGAGAAGGGCAGAGAACAAAAGTGAAAATCTGGAGAAAAAAAACATAATTTTGTCCTCCCTGTATTTTCCGGTTCTATATGTCAAGTCATTTCATATCAGTATGGTTTCCTGACAGAGTGAACCTTATACATCCTGGCTCCTTTATTGCACCCTGTTAGGTTTATGCATAGAGAAAGGAGGAGAGAAAGAAAGGGAGAGAGACGGAGAGAAAGAGGAGAGAAAAATAACAGTAGGGCAGAGAACAAAAGTGAAAATCTGGAAAAAACATAATTTTTTTTCCTTGTATTTTCCGGTTCTATATGTCAAGTCATTTCATATCAGTATGGTTTCCTGACAGAGTGAACCTTATACATCCTGGCTACTTTATTGCACCCTGTTAGGTTTATGCATAGAGAAAGGAGGAGAGAAAGAAAGGGAGAGAGACAGAGAGAAAGAGGAGAGAAAAATAACAGTGGGGCAGAGAACAAAAGTGATAATCTGGAAAAAAACATAATTTTGTCGTCCCTGTATTTTTTCCGGTTCTATATGTCAAGTCATTTCATATCAGTATGGTTTCCTGACAGAGTGAACCTTATACATCCTGGCTACTTTATTGCACCCTGTTAGATTTATGCATAGAGAAAGGAGGAGAGAAAGAAAGGGAGAGAGACAGAGAGAAAGAGGAGAGAAAAATAACAGTAGGGAGATGTCAATGATTTAATCATAATGCTTCACATTGCTATGGGAATGTTTATCTCAGAATTATTAATATAAAGCTTCCATGATTTAAATAAAGATACTAATTGAGTTAGATTTTGTAGAAATACAGGACAAAATTAAAGTATTTTTAGGCAGAAGCAATAACCTGATAATGCTACAGAAGTATCAAGCTGTTATCGTATTTGATCAACCCCCAATCATTTCATTCCTAGAAAGAGAATATTGTGACATGTCTCTGATATGAATGAAATATTAATAATGAAATGTTAATGATCATATCTTCAGAGTGAGGAACGTGATGCCAGAGACCGTCAGAGTGGAAGTTGCCAAAATGATCGAGAAGGAGTTTGGACAGAAACAGTTGGACCTTCACCTTACTCGTATCGAGGCCTGCATTCAGCACAAGCATCTTATTACTGTCTATGAACTGGGTGCCAGTGCCACCATGGACATTGATGGTGCTATCCTTCACGCTCTTCTCAAAGGTATTGTTTCATCACTATCCGATGACCAGGGTAATAATATGTTTTGCGCCTAGAAACAAAGTATTAGGCGCATTATAAATGTGAGCTATTATTATTATTATTATTATTATTATTGTTGTAATCGTCATCATCGTCACCATCACCACCATCATCATTATTATAATCAACATCTTATGATTCAAACCATCTGCATTTCTCATTGTCAAAATGTCTGATACACAAGGTGTTTTGCTTATATCTTAGATTTCCACATAAGCTTTAATCCCATTGTCTTTTGAATATTGTACCAAGATTCATTGTTTAAGCAAGACTTTGTAATTACCCAGAATTTATTCCCAATGTATTCAAGAAACAAAGACCATATTTTACTATTCAATTGATGTGGTAAGATGTAGGAGAGGCATATCAGTGATGTTCTTTTTTTATTTGGACCTCTTTTTACCTTAGCCAACAAGGGACGGATTCAGGACCAGCTTCGCCTTGCTCTGATCTGGAACCGTGTGGACGTTGCCAAGCGAGAGATCTTCACTGATGATCGAGAGTGGGGGGTAAGACCTAGCTGTTCTTCCTTCTGGATTTTCATACTGTGCTGATGTAGCCGTTGGAACAGGGACTCCTCTTAAGAAAAATAATGTTTGAATAACTTACCAAAAGTGAAATCCAGGACATGATTTTTTTAGTGTAATATGAATTGTAAACACATTTATTACCATCAACATAATCTAAGGAGTATCAAAATAAAGTTTTTGAACTTGAATTAGCCAAGTGAACCATTCTTATTGTCAAAGGACTTAAATTAATTCTTATCTTGTCTCTTGCTTTGCAGAAAGGGCAGCTGGATGAATCCTTGCGCTATGCCTTGTCCAATAACCAAGTCAGTTTCATTGAACTTTTCTTGGAGCAAGGGGTCAATCTAAAGGACTATTTGACCATCAAGGAACTGACCATTCTCTACAATGAGGTAATTCAAATTGTCAAATTTCACCTATCAGCTACTCTCCGTGAGTCATGTTTGGTTATAAATCTCTGTATCACAACTCAAGCAATCATAGTTGTCTGGTCATTTGCATTAAGAGTATATTAAAAGGAGATTTACAAATAGTAATACTGTTGATCAATAGACAGAGAGGATTTTTATATTTGTATAATTGATTCTAAAATTAGACATTGCAGTTCCTATTACAAATACAAACCAACTGTTACTTTAGATTTTACTCTTTGGAATTACAGTGATTGAGCTTTAAGAGGATAATGATAAATGGATGACTAAATTGTGTTACAAGTTATTATTTTAATAATTGAAAATATGACATTCACACTTGGGTACTATATGAATATATCTTGGACCGTTTTACAGTCTCTTACGAACCCATGTAATTTGGGAAAATGGCAAATTAAAAAATTGAGCAATGTTAAGCATCATTATAGCATGATAAGTAGAAGCTCAGAAGCTGCAGTTTATCTATAAATGGATCCATTTCCTTCTTTTTCACAGATTCGATCCAATTCACTCCTGTATGAGCAGCTGGAGAAACATAGAGGAAAGGTAGGGCATTATTGTATCTACTCGCATCTAACAATTGAATATCTTTATCTATGCATGTCCTAAAGTAAACCTCCAAGTATGAACTTTAGAATGTATACCTCTTTTCACTGATCCAATATTTGGTTTAGATATTATTTCATCAAGGAATAAGTTTAGGGTTAAAGTTGGTAATAAAGGTTAAGTTCAAGAGCAGGATTAGTTTAAGGTATTAACTTTAAGGAATATTTGTAGGTCCATGCAGGGCTGAAGTAAAATATTCAATTGGTGTTAGAAGTTGATATATATATGACTTTAAACCGACTCCACACTGAGAATTCCGTTGCCATATGTCGTAACATAAATTCTTATCAGTCTGCGTTTTATTAGTCTGTCGTCGGTCTCACTAGTGAGACTGAAATATGATTTGGGAGCATCCATCACTGTAGCACGTGTCGTACTGACGTGTGTGTGTGTATTGGGTTTTCACAGACGTGTATCAATCAATCAGATATGATTATTTACGTCTGGGGGCCGACCTTTAAACGTCACCATCCGAAAGACGTGACTGAGTTTCAAACCTGCATCCTCGGCTGAATCAATTTGTAACTTCCACTTTTTAGCTGGATTACAGGCGCACGCCACAACGCCTAGTTATCAAATTCTCCACCTCTTATTTATGCATTCAGTACTCCAATTACAAGTTCAACCTTGAGCATGTGGGCAAGGTCATCCGCGACCTGATGTTTGATACCTATCAACCCCTCTACCTGCGAGATCCAGGGGTCTATGTCCTCCTGGATGCTGACATCAGGCAGGATGCGCCTAAACAGAATGAAGCATACGATGACACCGGTGATGATGACTCTTATACCGATGGGGAAGACCTGGATGAGAATGATACCGGTGCCACGCCTAGGGTCGATCCATTTTCTCTACAGGAGGGACTTGCTAGTTTTGGAAATGCCATGATGCCAGCAAGTGAGTCGATTCCCCAACCTTTCTACTGTCACACCTCTTGTCATGCTTAAAGTAGTAATACAGTGGATGATGTGCTAGATAGAGATTGTTTGAAATAATAGTAATGTTTTTAGTTCTGTGTGAATATCTAACAAATTTTCTTTTAAACCCAGCTAGCTTCTCTTGCTTATAATTGATAACGTAAATAGTTTTTGAAGTAGCTAAATCTTGAGGATACATTTCAATGGTTGATTTAACAAACTATGAATTTGATTGTTTGTTGTGATTATGTGTTTTTTATAAGCATCCAATAAGTTTGTCATTTTGAGTTAAATGGGTAGGAGAATGCCTGCAAGCTGATTGGTCAATTATCGTGTAGATTTTTTTAAACTGGCTCCACGCTATAAATCGACATGAAATCGGGATTAAAAAAAAAGAAAATTAATGCTAAGGTAAGTCAAAATTTCGTTTTCATCCATTGCGCTAACAAGTGTCAAATTATGCAAAATAAAAAAATCATGCTTTTGGGTAATTACCGGATGCATAGTTTCACCATGCAAGCCAGTAAAATCAGTAATATAACAGATTTTTGAATTTTTTTTCTGCCCCATTTTATAAAACAGATGATGCTCAGGTATAATTTGTGGGTTGGTGGAATTATGTGCACATGGTACCTTTGAATTCCATCTAAAACCATTCAAAGGTACCATTTGCACACAATTCCCACTGAAACCTGTGCATCATTTGTATAATAGCAACTCATTGCAATATAGAAATCGCCAATGCTTGAAATGTGAAACCATATGTATCTTGATGATTTATTTGAATTGTTTTTGTTCATGCTCCGTCGTGTCGGGAAGTGCCTCTAGCAACGATTCAAGAACATGTAGAGATGGTATTCACTCTTAATGATGAACCTGTAGATATTAAGACAGAGATACTCGTAGATGGTAATATTTGACCGATGACCTTCCATATAAAGGTTTTTCATGGTAATTAGGATTGTAATCAACTTCATTTAGAGGGATAATTATGGGTTGAGTGTTCATAATATTGCATGAAAAAGGCTTCAAACTGAGGACAAATTAAAGAAACATATATATTGAAAATATTGACTGTGAAAGCAAAGCAATCTCTCTGGACTGATCTTAGTTCTGTCTTTGTCAGTGAGCGTCAAAATCGGCAGCCTAGCATAGCCGGGTAATGTTGGAGCCCCTTGAGGAACTTGCAAGGTCGATACGTGCGCTATATAAGAATCCAATATTATTATTATTATTATGAGCAGGGCAATTCCAAAGAAGTTTATAAGTTGCGAGGCAGAGCCCATAAATTGTTTTTATTTGGGATTCATGGTTATGAGGTTATGAGATTAGGCTGAAACATGCATGTTTTTCCTCAGAATAATAACCAGGTTCCTGGAATGTTTTCTATTTCAGTACCATTTATTAGAGGTGTTTCCAGAGGTAATAAGGATGCACTTTGTGTTCTTCAAGGGCATGCCTGATATAGCACTCAAATCACATTCCCAAGAGGAGATTTTGTCAAAGCATGATCATTTCGGTTCAAGTCACAGGTTCAGACTGGGAGATTGCAATGTTGATATACATAGTAATAGTGGAATGACGAACCATGTAGAATTCTGAACACATCATATGAATGCATGAATGGGCTTTATAATGACATATATTGTAAAGTTGGCTCATTAAAAACACAACCACAACTAGTGAGTGATTATAAGTCAAAGTATTTAACCCTTTGTAGATAGATGATGTAAAATATAAATTTCATGGTTTATTGTGTCATATTTTTCTCAAGGTTTAGCCGGGTGTCGACGCTCAGTCGTTGCGCGTGTTGGAAATGCCACAAACCCATTGAAAGGTGGAATGAAAAGCATGTTTTTTATCACCAGCATAAGGCAGAATGCAATTGCAAGCACATCATGCTTTTCTCAAACATCTTTTATTTTATTTCACATACATATAAGAGTCATATTCTGAAGTCTTTTCCCCTCATGTCACTTTTTAAAACTAATCAAATATAGTATCTATGTGCTGATCTCTTGCATAATTAAGCAGAGATACCCATTGATCAATATTATTTTATATTTTATATTTTATTTGCCACCTTTTTATTTTCCACTCCATGGGTATACAATTAACATTTATCTTTGTGCATGACAATCAAAGTAATTTTGTGAACACTATCATTGAGGGGGGAAGAGATATTAAAAACATGAGAATATGCCTGTCTTTGCCATTGTCATAAACTACTAACAAAGTTGTACTGCATTACTTTAACATGACTGAATTGCATCTTTATGATTTTAATACAAAGTACCAATTGCCACAGCTGATTAATTCAATCATTCTTGTACTAAAGTAAGGATCACACTAACGTAAGGACACTAAAGTAAGGATTGCACTAACGTAAGGACACTATAGTAAGGATCACTAAAGTTAGGATCACACAGCTCTTTTACAGAAACTGTTGGAATAGGATTTTAAAACAGAATAGTCAAAGTTACACTGCATGCTATGATTTTATTTGATCATATTATTTAACTATTTCAAATCACATCAAATGCATATATATTTGGGACCAGATTAAGACCTAGATGTAGCTGTATCTGAAATACCGTGTCATGTCTCTGGTGAGGGTTCGGTGGGATTATTATCTTTAAAAAAAGAACATTGTGATAAATCAACTTGATTAAAAAAAAATCAATTTACATCACATATTATCATATTAAATACACCTGCATGAACATTTTGGTTGCATATTGAAGATAACATGTTTCAGCATCATACATCTTACAGCATTTACAATATATACAATTTTTTATTTATTTTGCAGTATTACAAACAAAATATTGGGGGGGGGGGCATTTGAAGTATATCCGTTTTCCCCTTCTGGGATGTTGGTTTCCTCACTTTTCTATATCGGAGCTTCTCAAATGTGTGAAAGCATAATGAATTCACAGACCAACACAAATGACACTGTTTAAGTTTTCATGCTATGCAAATTAACCCCTTTATAATGTTGAATATCAACATTATAATGGATTTAGAGTTACTAGAAACAATTTATTTAAAGATCAAATACTCAAAATTAGGTTTTATGTTTCTTTGTGTTTGCATTGTGGCATTTTTATTTCCAACACTTACCAGTCAAATATCCTCCTCAAAAGAATCTGACACTATTGGATGGATTTATATTATGTGGTCATGCATGTAAAAAGATTTGAAATGAATGAAAATGGTATCAAAATCAAAATCAAATCCAATCAATCTTCTCTGTTAATCAATATTTCTATCTGGTTCAATTTCAGATATGAAGAAGGGCTTGCAGCCCAACCAGTTTGAGTTTCCCATGAGGGAGCTATTCGTCTTTGCCATCTTGCAGAATTGGCATGACATGGCCAAGCTTTTCTGGGAGGAAGGCAGGGAATCCATAGCATCGGCACTGGCCGGGAGTAAGATGCTCAAGGGTATGGCATCCAAGGAGGATGATTCTGACCAGATAGCTAACATGGAAGAACATGCAGCGTAAGTAGAGTTGGTCTGACATACATGTATTGTCTGTTGAGAGACAGAATGGCATTAAACTCTGGAGCTAGTCAGTCATATGGTGTGTTGAGAGCTGGAAGGGTGTTAAAGGATACAAGTTCCCACACTTCTGCATTGATATATTTACATGAAATGCAATACCGGTACCTGTATCAGGTTTTGCAGTTGACGTTATACTCTTCATTAGTAATCTGTCCAAAACTAATTCTCTACCGCCACAATAAGGCTGCTAGTGTTTTCATTTTGAGTTGCCATCAATGTTAAGTTTTATGCAAAGGGGCCTAGGTGACACTAACATCAGCTGTATTGCTTGCAGCTGATGCAACTATAATCAGTATTTCTGCTCCTAATTATTTGAAAGATAAGAACAAAGTGTATAAAATATTCTTCATAGTGTCATTTTTAACTGCAATTTGTATTTCTCTTAGAACCTACGAGGAGCTAGCCATAGGAGTCCTGAATGAATGCTATATAGAGGATGAAGAACGTTCAGCTTTGCTTCTTGTTTGTGAGCTTCCGTACTGGGGAAATTCTACGTGTCTTAGTTTGGCTGTGGAAGCAGTGGACAAGAACTTCATTGCACACTCTGGAGTGCAGAGTCTCCTCACTCAAATCTGGATGGGAAAGATCTCGGATGAGACAAGTCCATTTCACGTAATTACCATCAATTACCACCAACTTGAATTTTTAATTGTATCTTTGATTTGAATGAATTCTGTTTGTCAATCTTATTGTTAATTTCATTGTATTATTTAACTTTCTATAGCTATTTATTTGTATTGTATTCCCACCATATATATATATATATACTGCTTAGTAAAGTTCATAATGCATAATTTGTTTGATTAGATATTAAATAAATAATTGAAGGGGAAGTCCACCCTGAATTTTATGTTGGTTTTTATTATACACATCACAATTTGAGGAAAATCCAATACCAGAATTACAAAAGACATTTTGAATTGCTAAATTTGTCATTGATCAAATGCATATGGGCAACTCAATACCTGGTTCTTCACTTGAGAATTATTGGGTCTCTTATTTGCTTATATGCAAGTGTGTATTTATTTGCATAGTCAGTACCCTGCATGGAGCCAATTTCTCGAAACCATCATAAGTCCGTAAAGCCCATGGATATCCAATAAAAATGCATGTTAATTTAAACACATTTTCAAATTGGATGTCCAAGATGTAAGACGGTTTCAAGAAACGGCCCCCTGGATGTAAATATGATGCAATTTCACTGGAGAGACATTGACATATTAAAGAGGATCACATATTAATAAACTAGACTTATACTACATCTCTTTGTATCTAGCTATGGATGTGCACTGTATTCCCTCCATTGATATACTTCCTGGTGAAGTACCGTGAAGATGAAGGTGATGAAGAACAAGAAGAGCTTCAGAGGCAGAGCTTGAAGAAGAAAAAGAAGCTTCCCGCTGCCAAGTCAATAGTGAGTAGAATAAACTCTTCTTAAATTATTCTTAGAACCCTTCTTAAATTATTCTAAGAATGATCTTGATTCCTTTGTGTATACAGCACACAGAAAATTTCATTTTATGTTCTAGCAGATACATATTTTCTTTATCTAGAGTTTAAACTAGAGGTCAAATATATTAAATTACAAGTAATGTCAATCATTTGTCATATTTTGTTCTTTTTCGGAGTGATGTAAAATGTGGGTACCGTCTCACTTTAGCCAGACTGTGCACAGTAAAATGGTATCAGGATTCAGCTGTTGTACTGGTATCACTGTACTTGTGCTTTCTCAGAAACTGTAAATGTATTTATAGTGCTCATGAGTTCAGCTTTGTATGCTTCCTCCACCAAAGCGGATGCTGAAGGCAATATTTGTAGTGATATGTTGATCATCATCATCATTGAAGATTTGATCATCACTGGTCATATAAATTAAGTTTTAATTCCAATTAGCAAGTTTGATAGAAAAGTTTGATATATTTGTTTTATGTGGATGTTATATCATATCATGGCCCTATAACAAAGAGTTACAAACCCTTGGTACTTCCATGAATTTATTGTATCTCCTTAATAATCATTTGTTGCTTTACCATCAATAGTTATAATTTTCATTAAAGGGAATGGGTCGTCAGTTTCCAAGTGCACACAGCCATATGTTGCTGTCACCAGACTTGGTTGAAAAACCATTAATGTGTGTACAAGTCTGCACACAGCAAACCGAACTAGGCCTATCAAGAAATACCCCCTATATAGTTTCTGGAAAGTCTTTGGGTGAGGGAAAAGTGAAATATAATGACTTTAATATGGGGGGATACAAGACATTACATTAGGCCTGTTAGTGTAGGTCATAAAACTGAAGGCTGATCTTAGTGATTGACAACACCTGTTATTGGGTAAACACCTGAATGGTTTCGAAATTCCCCATCATAGCCCACTCCTGTGGTCTTTAAGGTGCAATTAATCAATTGCTGCATTGATGGAAGTACAGTTGATTTTTACAACTGATGATGCAGTGTCTGCTAATTTCATTTGATCATTTCACATGTTTTGTTTATGCCTGTGCAGGATGATGTGTTTGTTCCTGAAGGTGATCCAAGTAACAAGGGTCTTGAGATGGTTGTCCATCCTCCGTCAGACAACGGAGACAATGGAATGGCAAGCCAGACCATGTAAGTATTTTTTTTATTTGATTTTTTGATTTTCTTGTTCCACACTTTACAGAAAATATAGACATACATATAAAATAAAAATTTATACTTGTAATACAATAGTAGTATAAATGAGCACATGTCAATGATTCTCAATTCATATAATAGATTAAGTAGAATGTGAGCAACCTAATAAAAATCAGTGCTTGTATAATATAGGTTCCTGAAAAAAAAAGGAATGTAGTACCAGTAGAGAAAGACATAATTTAGGGGAGAGAATTTAAAACACAATGAAATAAGGACATTTGTATACAAAATAATGCATTAGCACCAATACCCAGAGTCATCCGGTTAAAATGCGTAGTCAATATGCGTATCATATCATATTATATCATAACAAGACTTAGAATGTCGCAACTGTAATTGATCTGAAAGGATTTAGATCTTGATCTGCATTTACCTCTTGTGTGAGATGGATGCTGATTGGTGCAGAATTGGGGCAATTTGAGAAATGAGATCATCATATCAACTTTTCCAAGCTGATTCAGAAATACTTTACATAAATCCCAAGCTTCCAAAGGTGTGAAGTTCCAACACAGGTACCCTCATAAGTATTGTTTTATTATTTAGATTATACAATCTGTGGAGGAAAACCTGTGGCTTGAGCTTTCAGCTATTCTCTTGTCCCACCTATATTGCATTAAAAGTAAAAGCATAATACAGTCAAACTGATCATAGCAGCCACCTCTATATAAAGGCCACCTGTATACAGTGGTCATTTATGTCCCTCTGTATGACAAAATGTGTTGTAGATCGAGCATTTAGAAAATTACCTAAGAGGTTCATCTGATTGGTGATGAAATTTTGAAAAATGAATTATTTCTTCACAATCTGTAGAAAATTAACCGTTTTGGTAAGCTTTTGCTTGCAGTACGACGATATGGTCAGACATTTGTATAATGTTTCTCTCTTGTTGTTAGGCTACTTGAGAACAAGAATGGACATCCTGCCAAGCCCAAGCCAAGTGAAGATAAAGACGAAGATACGTTCAGCCTCATGAACGCTCGGCTAGATATAAGGGACAGTGGCGTGGATCTGTCCTGGTGGCAAAGATTCAAGTTCTTCTACGATGCGCCAATGATCACTTTTAGACATAATGTGGTAAGTATCAATGCCTGGTATACTCGTCAACGACGTAGAAAACTTGATAGTTAATCTATTTTAAGTTCCATTGGTGGTGTTCAAACATTTGCTCCTGTGAAAGTTACTTGATGAGCATGCAGAAGTACCACTTCTTTGCAGCTCAAGTTAAAGATGGTGATGGTATTTAGATTTTGGTAAATGTATTTTTTAAGTATTAGAGTGTCTTGTGAATTAGTTCTTTCATGCATTTTTTGCACAGAATAATGATTAGAATAGGTGTGGTTCAATTGGGTCAAAGGTCATGGATCAGATTGAACTCAAAAATACAGGTATTTTATTCCAGGTATTGGGTTTTTACATTGCAGGTCTTCTTTGATTTGCATTATATAGTAGTGTACATTATAGTATAATAGATATGTGAAGATAATGATGTCCAACCTCAAAGATCATTTATCATGCCAGTTATCTTCTCTTTCTCTCATTCTCTTTCTCTCTCTCTCTCTCTCTCTCTCTCTTTCCATCTCTCTACCCCTACATCTACTGCTAATGCTAACTACAGTTGTCCTACATGGTCTTCTTGGTGCTGTATAGTTATGTCATCCTTGGCAAATTTGCGAAAGACTATTTTGAGTATGTGCTCATCATCTGGGTAGTGTCTTTGTTCACAGAGGAGTTTAGACAGGTAATGATGCAACCTTCTATTATATCTTTAAGCCTATCTATGGAGAAATGTTCATGAATGTAAAATTGTACTGTTTATCTGCATGTGCTGGGGTCATAGGTCACTATCCTAATGATGGCTCATATTGGAGAAGCCAGAAGAATGCTAAGTGGTAGCACTACGGTTAGAGTTATCGCCCTTCTGGCTGTCAATAGATGATGTAACGCAAAAGAATAGGAAAGTGAAGTAGAATGTCCAAAAGATCGAGCAATGTGTTGGTTTTTGTCAGCTGAAAAATTGTATTGTAAAGAAAGTTTTAGTTTGGGCTGAATTTTAGTATTCAAACGTGACAGATCTCCATCGTTCTGGCAAAGACGTTCTGTCTTTTGTTAACTGTACGAAGAAAAGGGGGAAAAAAGAAAGACCCCCCCCCCAAAAAAAAACACAACAACAAGGAATATAGATAATTAAAGGCTGATCATACATGTATACATGTTGTTCAATGACTATACACTGACAACAGGTTGAAGTAATGATGTCATCGGTAACCAGTTTCTTTTACCGTAATTAACGGTGTATTAACCGCACCTTTTTGCCGCCGAAAAAATTTCAAAGTCGGGGTGCGATTTATACACGGTACACCCCAAAAAAACAAAAAACAATTTTTTTTTTTTTTTTAAATTTTTTTTTTAGGGTGAAAAAGAGGGGTGCGGTTAATACGCGAGGGCGGTTTATTACGGTTCTAGCTTACCCAGACAATCCAAGATGACTGCTAATTAATATCCTCTGCTTCCATACAGATTGCACAAGGTGAAAACAGCAGCTGGTCGAGCCGCCTTTTAGCGTGGATCACCGACTACTGGAACATTCTTGACCTGGTAACGCTGATCACCTTTGCAGTGGCTGAGATCCTGAATTTTGTCGGCTTTACTGAAGCAGGTCACGTCATCCTCTCCTTGAACCTGACCCTCTTCTTCATCCGTGCGCTCCATATCTTCTCCATCAGCAAGCAGCTTGGACCCAAACTCATCATGATCCAAAGGATGGTCAGTCCAACAACTAGCTCCTAATCAGAGATATTTATACTCTTTATTAGCTATTATAGATCAAAATCGCGTATTGCCATATATTGTTGGAGTATAGCATACGAGTGGAAGAAGTAGACTTGGCTGGCAGTTCCTTGCTTATTTATTCCATTGGTTGGTTGATCAAAGCTGATATAGAAGTGATTTGTGATCCAAAATGAACTCTGGCGATATTTGCTCCGGCTTTTTCTGTCAGAGGGCTAGGGTTGCAATTTGGCTTTAGGTTGGGTATAGGGTCAGTGATAGGATTACCGGTAGGTATTTAACCAGCGTACAAAATTGAACACAGCTAAGTAGTTATCAATGGAGCTGGTGTAATTAAGGCAATATTTAGTTCAAAGCATTTTGTCCACATTTGATAAATAGATTTAAGTTGTGATGTCTCAGATTCCCTTGGCAACCAATTACTCACACAAGAATATTATTAATTAGAAACGGCAATCTCACTGCACTCATTTCACCGAATAATACAATTAATAAGTATACTTACTCTAATCAATTCAATATACGTGCACATATGCAATGAATAATTCTTGTGAATTATCATTAGTGAATATCTTTGACAGGGTATAATTCAGTTATAATTGCCTTCAGTTGTAAATAAAAATATCTGATTTTTCTTTCCCTGTCAGATGGTTGACCTGATGTTCTTTGTTGCCATCCTGGCTGTGTTCCTCATCGGTTACGGGATTGCATCTCAAGCCATCCTCTTTCCTAACGAGACGGATGTCAGTGTCATCATGAGAGGCATCCTGATGAGGTCATACTTCCAGATCTTTGGAGAGCTCTTTCTTGAAGTCATTGAAGGTAATTACAGGGATTGGGTATCTTTGCCTTAGATTCTAAACCAAATCTTAGATTTAGCTCATGCTGCAATCATAATTATATACCTTTAGGTAGGTCAGGAATCCCATGACTTTTACGAGCTGTACGCCTGTCTAATTATCAAGATATTTATGATTGGAATTCGAAATGTCAAAAATCGTTTTCCCAACGGTTTTTATAACATAACAGTCTACTGGGGAAAATGAGTATGTTAAAACCGGTCACTCAAAGATTTTTACCTTTTTAAGGCACTTCATGATCATTTTCAAGCTCAATTTTATTAGGGCTTCAATATTACACCATATCACAGACATTGATAACACGTAGGGCCACGCATCTTAGATTTGTAAAACTGGAAACATTGTTAAACGATGCCTTTAATGCCAAGCTCACCACTGTGATTTATGCACTAGATATTCAGTCACAAGATTGAGGCTTACAAATGCTTGTCAAGTGCATCTGTATACAAATGCCCCTCTCGACCCAGTTGTCGTAAATGGGTACCTGTTAAAAGATGAATTTGTGTAAAACATTTTTTAGTGTCTTAAAATGGCAGCTTGGGAAAAGTCCCCTTCTCAAATAAATTTCCCATTCAAATAATTCTAATTCTGACCCTCGTATCATAATGATCTTTCCTCTTGTTGTTACTTCTGTAGGTTCTGACTGCACAGACAATTCCACTCTGGTTGATGGTGTGGACTTCTTCCCATGTCCTGAACATTCCTGGATTGGCATTATCCTCTTAGCTGGTTACATGATGATCAGTAATGTTCTACTTCTCAATCTACTCATTGCCATGTTCAGGTCAGTCGGATTAAAGAGTTCTTCAGCATTGCCACTTTATGTTCTTTTATATGTACATGATATTTTCATTGGAATAGGATGATAGATAATAATAATACTGAGATACAGTGAATGATCTTCTCCTCAGCTTACTCATTGCCATGCTTAGGTCAGTCTTCTTGTAGGAGTGACCTTATATTAGTACAGGTGACAAGAGCTTCAGGCTTTATTTCATCAAGGATATGGGGTTCAGTTTAGGGTTACAATCAGGTTTATTTTCAGATTTCAGATTTCAGATTTTCAGATTTTATTGTCCACGTTAAAAAACACAGAAATTTGGTGTGAGGATTATATTTTGTGTTAATTGATCCAAGGTTGAAGTTGGTTTCGTGCATTGATATCTGCAGAGCCAATGTTGGTGGGGCATGCGTCATAGATCCACTGCGGGAGTTCTTCAGTGACGCTACACTGTGACATGCATCAATATTTAATTTTGTTTTTCATAAGTTCTTCAGCCACCTGCATGCAGATTATCCTTTCCTACTAATTTCTGTCTGTTTACAAACAAATTATTTCATACTTTATTGATAATAATTATGTTGCCTTCTTTTGTGCAGTTACACCTTTTCAGCCATCCAAGACAACACTGACACTATCTGGAAGTTCCAGCGCTACGATCTGATCAAGGAATACTTCAACCGCCCCCCTCTCACACCACCATTCATCTTGGTCTCTCATTTCTTCTATGCGGTACGCTTCGTCATACAACACTGTTGTAGAACTTGCACCCACTGGAAGATACCTGAACTCAGTAAGCATGATTACTTTATCATTTGAGAATTAAGTTTAGATTGTACATGTATCTTCTTCAAAGATTTAGCAATCATTTGCATAAAGTCACTTTTCTTTTGAGATCAGTAACATATTGCTTACATACAGAGGATTAGCAATCTCTTGAATAAAGAGAGAAAAGTGGATACTGAATATCAATTGATATCTCTTACCATTCTAGTGCAATCAAATTACAGTTTTCCACCAATTTGGATTATTGTTGCCTTGGATAGAGAGAGCAATAGTCAATGTTAAATCAGTTATATTTTTTCCTTTAATGTGTCTGGGAGTCCGCAACCTCAGAACCTGATATAGGATTGGTTTACATTCATTCTTGATGAAATTTGATGACTCTTACAGAAAAGAAAATTCCAACGCTCGTGGAATGCTGCTACTTTTACATAAATAGAGTACTATATGTGAGTACTTCAAGTTGTTGTTGAGTTTTATGTGCTGCTGTGACGGTGATTAAAATTGCACAAATATGTCAAAAGCAGATGAAAATAAATTTGATTTTGAAAAAGGCTTGTACAACAAGGTAATACTGGGAATATTATAATGAAGTGTACAATATCATGATACTAGTACTAACCATATGTTTTCTTGTCAATGTTTGACCTTCCTTTATAGAGCAATCGTTGACTGATCAAGAAAAAAGACCCTTGTTCTATGGGAAGGCATCAATGCAGATAACTACACAGCCAAACAGAGAATATTGGTGCAACAGGACCTCAATGAGAGAGTCAAAGTAGCTGGTGACAGGTTGGTAGCTCTTAAAGAGAAGGTTGAGTTCTGGGAAGAGGTGACAAATAATTTGTGAGCGTTATCATTCTTATTATGCCAGTGTGGAAGATCATCAGATAAGACATGTTCCCTGAAAAGCATGGCTCTTCAAATGCCTTTATATTCTAAATATGTCAGTAACATCGTAAAACTCGGGGGGTAGGATTTTTACGCCACATGTTCGTGTAGTCCCATATACATCTCTCTGTGTACAGTGTTTGTAACTTTACCAACACTTGGCAAAATTTCTTATCATTTGATGATTCTAGAACCTTGCAATACACACAAATTCTTATATGCTAGATGATCAACCTTTTCTGGTCGATTCCACATCGTTTCTTTCACAATGCAATCGCATGACCAGAACTCAACTTCATCTTTAAAGGCATCGTTTAACAATGTTAAATTTGAGATGCATGGCCTACGTGATATGGTGTAATATGGTGTGATATGGTGTAATAATGAAGCCCTAAAATAATTGCGCTTCAAAATGATCATGAAGTTCCGCAAAAAAGTAAAAAATCTTTGAGTGACCGGTTTTTACCATACTCATTTTCCCCAATAGACTGTAGTGGTAGGAAAACCGTTAGGAAAACGCAAAATTTGATATCGATTTTCCAATCATAAATATCTTGAAAATCAGATGTCATGGGATTCATGTATGCCCTAAAGGTTTATAATTATGATTGCAGCATGAGCTAAATCAAGGATTTTTTTTAAGGATCTGAGACAAAGATACCGGAATCCTTTAAGTAGATCATATAACATAATCAAGGAGCATATTTGAATGCATTGCAGACCTGCTATCCAGGGCTCGACAATAGCAGGCGCCCAGGACACATGGGCATCCCAGATATATAGGTCTGGACCCTCAAAATGTAAACACTTAAGCATGGGGCTCATCCATACAGACCTGACAAATCTCAATTCGCGTTCCCCCGAACGTAAAGATATGTTGGAGCCCTGTATTATCTGTTTTAAACAAATTTCAGCTTTATTGTTCTTGTGTTGCTTGTATGTTCAATTTTTAATACCAAATATCAGTTTACTAAAAAAGAAATATCACAATATTAATCTAAAAGCAGTGACATTCTGATGTTTACATTATATCTTTATTGAAAATGTTGAGTTAGAGCAGACATTGATGGGGATTGTATGGCATTTTCCCGTCTTCTGATAGCCCTGGTCTGTTCTTAAAACAATCTTGTTGAATTATATTTTTGTTTGTGCGCAGAGTGGAAGACATGACTATGAAGCTAGACCAAGTCTTTGACGACGCTGAGAATCAAAAGGGTAAAGCAGGACCTCTCGGGATGCATGGAGGAAAGGGCTTTGAAGAAAGACTAGTCAGATTGGAAAACGGGGTAAGTATCCCCAATCTCGTTTTTCGTATTGAAGAAGATTTGCGATTAGCTTCAGCTTCTTAGCTAAAAAGTTAATCTTCAGTTGTGATAACATGATTGCATGAAGGGAAACTGGCATTAAGTGATTTTAAATCGTGTATCATGAAATGTATGAGTTCTTTTGAAATACGTTTCAACAAATTGGCAAAAGCTACTGTCTATACTATATTGCAATTTCAAATTAAAACCTATTTGGACATGAAATTCCTTTTATACAAATAATTTTGTCGTTGAAAAATCAAAAAAAAATTACAGTTTGGAATACATTGTCATAAGTTGTCAACATTTGTCTCATTTGGCACTATTTGCGAATTAAATAAATAGATAAAGTCAAACATTCATTTGTCGTCACTGCTGGATGTATTTTTGTGATATGTTTTCTTCTTTGATCAATATTGTTCTTTCTTGTTTTCATTGTAGATGGAACGTACCAATGATGCCCTGGATTGGATTATCAGTGCTCTTTCAAGTGGCGGTAATATGGAGGTCAAATTGGCACCACCCAAACTCAAGGACATCCAAAGGAGAGAAGGTATATACAATCATAGATGGAGGATTTATTATATATCTAGAGAGCCCTTGATGTAGTGAGAGTTGGTAATGTTGTTAACCTGTTGACTACTGAGTTCTCTCATTATTCCCAAAGTTTTTCACCAGGAATTGTTGTATGATATGACAGTTTAACCATAAATTGTAAATGGAGCTACATGATGCGCACACTCATATCAATGTAAATCGACTCTGCCCGTTGTTCTGCGCCAATAAACCTCTACCCGAACAAGATGTGAGTCTATATATCGTCTCAAGACTCCACTTATTATTGTGTCCATAATCTACAGGTGTGTTATGTATTTGATATTAGGCCATGCCACATAACACAACATGGTGGCAGCGGTGAGCGAATAGGTTTAACATGAATGAAAAGATCTAATAGTCTTGAGCCTTGTCTTCCTGTTAAACAGGAAACTTACTCCTTTGAATGCATTCCAATATAGTTTTGCTATAATCGTCCTCTTTTTTTTCTTTTCTTTGTAGATTCCGTAGACATTGCCGAGGAAGTATCCAGATTTGAAGTGCCTGTCTCCCTAGAAGCTCTAGGTATCATGATCCATAAGAAGTCTCGGGCCAGTCCCTATCCTGGGACTGCCATGAGAAGATTCCCTGTTCCAGACGACAAGGTTCCTTGGGAGGTAAGTCTATGTCGTGTGTAGAGTTTGAAAGGCAATGCATCTAGACAGTCATCTTCATCATCATCAACAGTGATCTGTCAGTATGACAGGTTCTGTGACCCAAACAGAATCCTACATCAAGTGTCTCTGCAAGTACCACGGTCTTGAGCCATCCGTTTCAGCATTTCATATCCTGTTGCTCCACATTCTTCGATTAAATCATCTAGAAAGCCTTTACGAGGTCTTCCCCTCTTCTTCTTTCCATGTAGACGACCTTCTATATGACTCTGATCATAGACTGTAGAAAGCTAAAAAAAAGTTACCTTGTTCTTAATCTTTAGAAGCCAGTCAATTTAAATGTTATACCTTTGTACTTGGACAATTACGGTAGCCAAAGATATGTATTCCGACATATTACCATCCCCCATCTAAGATTTTAGTATATCTGATCATTGTGTTAAGTTAATGGCCCTACTAGAGCTTAGAGGAGACCAAATATGAAGTGAAATGACCTATTTGATGTTGATGTAGGTTAGGAACTCTGCAATACTCTGTATGGGACATCCAATGACCAAATACCTTGGACTTTCACACTTCTCTTCCTCTTGAATAATAATAATAATAATAACTATTTCTTATATGGCGCTTTTCAGGAGGGCCCTATCAAAGCGCTTTACAGATATATATATATTATTACCCCGGTCATCGGATTCAGGCTTACCCGCACACAATGTATGCACATTCTCCACTCCCTGGGGAGCATTCCAGCGAGGCGTCATTTTTACAAGCGCACACTTGCTAATCTAAGCACATTAGCTTTCGCATCCTACCGGGTACCCATTTAACACCTGGGTGGAGAGTGGCAAATGTAGATTAATGTCTTGCCAAAGGAAATTAGTGCCGCGGTGGGACTTGAACCGCGGACCTTGTGATCCACAGTCTGGTGACATATCATGAAGGAGATTTACATATTCAAATTGATATTCAAATTCATTCATGATTATCTTGTATCTTGACTTGCAACCTTTTATCCTTACCTTTTGATTTGTTTATGGTTTTAAAAAGTGACCTACAGTGTAGTAGATATTTGATCATGTTTGAGGATTTTCTTTAATTCTCCTTTATTCAATTATAAATGCCAAAAATTGAAACTAAAAATTCTGTCATTCCAATGAGTTTTGGTTAATGATAAAGGAGGGGATTGGTGATAATATCTAAGCTAACCAGTATTATATGAGCTAATATCTGTTTCACTTACTTGTTGTCTTCCACCAGACCGCTTTCCCGCACTACACACCAGTGCGATACACTCATCGGAGTGTAGAGGATGGTCCCCACTGGGCAGACATTGATCTCATGAGCATGCCAACGAGCTCACGTTCAGTACTCCTCTTCAATCAGATGGATGTGCAATGTAAATACAACAGAAGGAGTCACATGAAGGCATACCAAATCAAAGACGGGCTTCCACTGTGAGTTAGATGTCATTTGAATAGATTTAATGATAATTTTACATCCATTAAAACTATCACCCTCTTTCATCCGTGATTGTTTTGTAACTGTCGCATTGCAAATAATGCATCTGGGGTTGGCGTTTTCATTTCAAATCTTTGACATACTGTACTGCAATATGAATGCTTCAAAAATCATTTGTCAGAAGATCATGTGATGTTTATAGTAGTATGTCAGGTATTGTCAGCCCTAAATTGAAATCAACATAGACAATTTTAGACCAATGCAGCTTTGAGTCAAATTATGACAATGTTACAAACATGATATTAGGTCAATGTGACTCTTTATAGATATTTCTGTATAAAAACCAAATCATGGCAAGTACAGATTCTTAGATGTTTGTTCTGGAGCACCTTTGTTTGCTGTTTTTTATACCCTTTGTCTTGATAACTTGCAAGTAATCATGTGTAAATTCAGTATTGTTGACTTGTGTTTCATTGATTTCATTTGCCTTGCAGAAATCCCAAAGGACGTACAGGACTCAGTGGTAGGGGTCTACTAGGAAGATGGGGTCCGAACCATGCAGCTGATCCCATAGCAACAAGGTAAACAAACAAACACAATGAATAACAAATGATTGGCTCAGATGTGCATAACCATAATAATAATAATATTAAAAAAACAGTGCTTATAAAGCACTTACCATCGCTTCATTTGCAGTTCATCTCTGCCTTTCACTGTCAAACTGTTATGAAAATGGCATATAATGTTTATAAGCAATAATTACCAAATGTATTTCAACTTCTCATACACATCATCAACATTGTACCTATTCTTGGTCTCTGTTCTATATTAATGACACCAAAATTTAGCCATATTAGGCTTCTAAAAGAAATTTGTCCGTACTGGTAAATTGTGACATGGGATGAATGCATGAGGCCAATTTGTTGTAACTGCCATAATGGATTGTAGTACCTTGAATGATTGGAATCATTTTCACCTCTTATCTTCTTTGACAGATGGAAGAGGAAGCCAGATGATGGATCCATCTTAATGGATGAAGACAAGCCAGTCCTAGAGTTCATTGCTATACAGAGAGTGGATAACCAGCAATGGGCAATACCCGGTGTAAGTAGACGGACATCTTAAGTATATTTGTTGTAAATGTGTGTTTTTTCCTGTTAATAATCTACCTATGAGGCTGATAAATTTCAACCCAGGGAAAAGAGCTGGAACATTCTCTCATTATTCATCATGATGGAGATTATTTAGTGAATGAATACTAGAAATAACTTGAAATTGGTAAACAATGTTTTTGTGTTCATCTTTAATTATGAGCTTCAACATTCTGTGCACTATCAACTATGTATCTCTGGTTCTTTAATAGTGGCCCATGGGGACAATATGATACATATGATATTTGGACAATGTTCCACCACCCCAAGATGGGTCTTTAGTATGTCTATATAATACCTGGTGGCCTGCAGCTTAATTTCAGAAATATTTCTGGTTCCTTTAATTGGCAAATCAATCAAGAATCCTGGCTTTAAATGCTTGTAATGTTTATATTTTGTAATACAGGGTATGGTCGAGCCAGGTCATTTGGTCAGCGAGACTCTGAAGAGAGAGTTTGGAGAGGAGGCCCTGGGTGCTCTCAATAAGACAGATGAAGAAGCTGCTCGCATCGGGGAACATGTCGAGAAGCTCTTCTCAAACGGTGTCGAGGTAAGGAACGTGTGCTTTTGAAAAAAGAGCTATAGTTATGATATGTTTGTATAGCACATATTGTATCTTCAGTAATCTTTCTATGAGTGTTCAAAGAGCTTTGGATTATTACCCTGGCACTAGTTGGTCTAATGAGGTGCTTGGGCATTCACGAATGTCTTCCTACTGTTCCCCATTTACTCCCTTGGGTGGGGTGTGCCAAACGTGATCGATATCCTGACAAGAACGTTATTCCTATGGCTGGGTTTAGAATCCAGAATCTTATGCTCCATAGTCCAATCATCTTCGTTGTTTAGTGTCCGTTTTTCCCATGCTGTGGGGTTGGATATTTACTCATTGGCCTGGGTTGACAGATGCTCTCATAGCTTCTCCTTCATCCAATGACTTATCTATTTGACAACACCTCTACTACAACCCTGCTGGATACAGGTACTAGGTTTTATGTTTGATTTCCCTGTGGAAGTGATGTGAGGACCATATACTTTCAGACTGACATGTATGTCAGTCCATTTGTCATTCCATGTGAGCTCACTATCTCATTAACCATCCTAGGACACTCATCTCCATTGGAAACTGACTTAAGTGAATATGTGCATTATCATCTCCTGGTGTAATACTATGAGGTTAATATTTGGTCAAATCTAAATGGTAATTTTCATTTTTAGGCAAAAGGAAGGGTATAGCTGCACCTCTGTGTTGACAATCTGTCTCCATCTTTGATGTATATGTCAAGTTTTCAACTCCTATTAAACAGATTATGTCTTTGTTCATCATTCAGGTATACAAGGGTTATGTGGACGATCCAAGGAACACCGATAACGCCTGGATGGAGACGGTCGCAATGAACTTCCATGATGAAGATGGTTCTGGCTTTGGTTCTTTCACTCTTGAGGTAAGAACACCATCACTCATGGAATATAAAAAATGTGTTACCAAGTAAAAGGTTTTGTATGCCATCATGTTTAAAAAGGATTGTAGAATCAAAGCAGCATGTGACTCGTATATGATGGATTTGTGTGATCTGTAGCAGTGCTTTCAATTCATGTGATTATAAATATAATCTTTTTATCTTGAATATTTGAGATACATGTAGTTTCTGGTATTTTAATTGACAGTAAGTTTGAAACAATACGTTCAATGTATAATTTGGATTAAATTGATTGACAAATCATCGTGTTATTTACTTTTGTTTGTTAACAGGCTAGCGACGATGCTCAGAGTGTAAGGTGGCAGCGAGTCAGCTCCAAGATCCCTCTATTTGCCAGTCACACAGCCATGCTCAAGAAGGTAGCCGAGTTACATAAAGCTGCCTTCTAAAGTAACACCCGTCCTCTGTAGCGGCAGGTGGCCCGGCAGCAACGAAGCCTTCAATCAACCAGTCACGTCTTTCTGCAAGGTGCCTTTGGGGTTGTTTTCATACCTCCACTCTTTTTTATGTAAATATCTCAGAGCAAACATTCACTGCGGATGTTGTCGTCCATGTTTTAAGGGTAATGAATTACGCTGTTATGAAATAGCCAAACCACAGAGTCATTTTTTTAAAATGTCCATATTGTGTGACCATGTATGTCTGTAAATGTTATTTTTGTAGTAAATCCTGATTAGAAAGAGTAAGTGGGAAGAGATGTGCAATTCCTTTTATTAGAAAGATCAGAGACGATCCTTAACGTATCTTGTAACAAATCTAGTCGTATCTGTATGATGTATCTATATTATAATTATTTGCATGTTTATTAGCTGCATATTTGATACCGCAAAATGATCTGATTGATCAGATTTATCTTTTTTGTCACAAATAGAATATTTTCATGTATAGATCTCTTGGCTTATTTTTTTTTTTTACTTGTTCCATTCTAATTTTCTTATTGTGCCATGCCCTAAACACCTGATAAGGATTTGTTTTTGTGTGATTTTTTTATTACATCAAAACCTCCCTTGCCAATCTACATTTTATTATAGAGAGGATTAGATAGAGAGGATTAGTAATTATACATTAAATCTGGTACATTGCTACCCCTTTGCTGGGATTACATTGTTCTAAAAAAGGAAAGAGAGCACAACCAGTATGAAGAATTATGTGGGTAGCCAGATAATATTGTCTGATTTAGACTCGTAGGGGGTGTGACTGTCAGTTTAAGCAATTTCCTAACCTAATTGATAATGAGGAAAGTAGGGTAAATACCATTGTATTGGGCACTGGAAATGTGTGCTCAAGGTTATTACTGGTACCCTTTGCCTATTACCGTATTAAGTACTCATGCACTTATAATTCTATTTTTGTCAACAACAAAAAGGAGAGAGAGAATCAAAAAGATAATTGTGTCGAAGGACAATTAAGTTATCGCAATCGTTATGTTAATAGAAAGAAGAAAAAAATTCTATCATGTATATATGTGATTATAATAATTTATCAATTATCTGACCACTCTAATCAGAGAAATTATTAATTATCTTAGAAGGGTAGAAAGTTTTTTTTATAATGGTCGGTCATTTTAATTTTTTGATGAAGGAAATACTGCATGAATTTTTCAGTACCCTTCTGAAAAGAACTACATCGTAAAGTTTGTGACTTTTATAATGTTTGATGACTGTGTATTGGTTATCACTTGTAGTGGGTTTATTTTGATTTTAACATTAATTACATAAATTACATATATTTCACATCAATTAAGGTGAAAGAAACGGATAAACAGTAAAATGTATAACATAAGTGAAGTCTACACCATACGAGGTATATTTTTATTCATTAGATTTCAACAGCCAAAACGTATTTACATTTTGTTTTGTACGAAAAGATATTATGCAATCCATTATTCTTTTGATACTTAATCCACACATATACCTCAATAATTTAGAATTTGCTGCTGTATAAACTAGTAAATATTATCTCCCTATGTTTTAAAATCATTACCAGTAAATACTTTACATGAGGTTGTACTTGGTTCAGTTTTGTTTCCTTTCAGCAAAAAGGTGCCTGTTTGTTATATCCTGTTTTTAAAACTGTATAAATGCTACTATCATTGAATAAGAGCAATTGAAGTTAATCACTTTATAGTTTAGTAAAGGAAGCACAATATTTTACTTTCATTTGTCAAATTTCCTGAGCATGTATTGTTTCCATGGATCATTTTCCAATCCCTACTGAACTCCCTGGTACCAGTATTCCCTCCATGTACTATGCATGCAGGATTATCAGACTACATGTACATGTATGTAGCTAGTATCTGTCTTCTTTCAATCAGGATATCCCCTTATTCAAGGCTGTCATGTGGATGTACTGGTATTGTTATGCTCTGTTTAGTCATCCCGGGGTTGGGTGACAATGAGTTTGCTGTTTGAAAGAGTTTCATTAAAATTTTTATGATCCAGATAGTACATTGCATATCTCATCACCCCAATTCCCAGATACACATTTTGCCGTCTACTTCAAATTTGTTATCATCCCTTGCGATTAATTTCTGCTTAGGTGTATTTTCTCTAATTTATATGGTTTATTTAGAATGGTAGCCAAATAGGTGTATGTTCTGTAAACAGGGATGACAGATGATAAATTATAGTTATACAAACTTCATTTCTAATGATAATCTTATCTATTTTCCTATATAGTTATTTTCAATGATTGATCAACCATAGTCCTGCCAATTCGTTGGATGTAATGTGTACAGGGTAGCCAAGTGATAGGTTTTCATTATGAAAACCTAGTTTTTAAAAGAGTTGGTTCAGTCGTTGTGCAAATTGATCACAAGGATGTTTTAATTTGTCCTTATAATATTGTAGAGGCTGAAGAAAAAAAAAATGATAGCATATAGTGTGCTATGTAAATATGTTTGTATTTCATTTGAACAATGTCTGTTAAGTTATATTTTATCTTTTTTGTAAATTAGTATCATGGAGAGGGAGGATGCATAGAAACATAGCATGGCCTGTTAGGCATGACAGGTCTTTTCCCCTGAACTAACATTGTAATGTTCTGATGTAGCTTTAAACTCGATTTTTGTTGTTGTTTTAATCAATAATTTCTTTACAAGAAGATACACATGAAAAAATGGGTTTATATTCTACAACTCTCTAAATGTAATTTAAAAGCATTTAATGCAAATTTATAACATGTTATACATTTTCAAGTTTTTTAAAATATTCTTCTGAAATATGGGATATAGGTCTTAGATATATTGTTTTGTAAATAAGAATCTTATATAAGGTTGTTTTGTCAAACTTTATATATATATATATATATATATATATATATATATGATACTAAAAATTCCAGTGTTTATGTAGATGTGAGGAAGAAAATATAGAAAGAAATATTGAAATACTGGTGAAGTCCCTGGTAAGTGCTACACAGTACTTTTTATTAAGAAAGAATATTTTAAATTATGGTATTGTTCAGAAGGAAAGCTTTTGTTTGATCGTAATGAAATAATAGTCTGAATTTAGGATATAGATGATATGTATAAATTCTGTATTTTACTGCTAATATATGACCCTAGGTAATATAAATCTAACTAGTTTAAATGGAATCAAATGTTTTCTGTGAAAAAGAACTGAGTGAAAAAGACAATTTGTTGCTATGATGCATCTGGAAAATTTATTTCTATGTATCTAAAAACTCTTTACGGTTCTTACTGAATTGGTAGAGATTACATTTCGAATTACTCAGATAAGTATTTGTTGATCATGTCAAGTTTCTGTGATGATCATGATAGAGGATAGAGGAAATAAGAGAGGGAGACAAATAAAAAGAGAGATATATGGCTTTATTCTGATCACTTGTAATAAAAAATTGTTTGAAATTATGTGTATACACAGTGAAAAGAAATTGCCTTCTAGAAGTTGCCTTCTATTTTTTCTGCTGGTGAATTTTTATTTGACTGAAAAGCAATTTGAAATGATAGTACTCCTCATTTATGGTAAAATAATATCTGTAATAGAATTAAACTGAATCATGTGAATATTGATATTTGTCTGTGCTCAAAGCACACTCAGTATTGACCCAGTACTCATGATGATATGCCTATGAGCTGATGGAACTGAAGTAGAATTTTTGTCTTTTCTTGTTCTAAAACAATTACAGGATATTTAAAGGTTTGATATTTTGAGCTTCAAGTCATAGCATTGTATTAAGACATCATATTTTTTTATATAGACATATTAGTGTGGTGTAGAGAAAATGATATGTTATACTAAAGTGTGTGGGATCATCCATTGTTTTACTGATGGAAAGTCTTTCAAAAATGTTTTCCTTCACAGGAATCTTTTATAAATATTTTCTGAGAACAGTCAGGATAACCACGTGCACCACCAAATGTAGATAGCCTCTCAAACCATGCAATCATGATTTCGATTTTCAATGTGTAATGTTTGTTGTTGTTTTTTGTTTTTTTAAATTTGTAATCGTGTAAATGATAAATTCGCTCAATTCGTATCTAAGATTTAGCCTTAGCAATAAGTGCATTTATAGTATTCAGTCTTTCGCATATAGCTACATGTAATCTTGATGTGTAAAACTATTTTAAGGACATTTTTAAAAATTAGTACACTTCAAATGTGAATATATACAGGCGCGTACGCATGATTTTTTCAAGGGGGGGGGGGGGGGGGGGGGGGGGGGGGGGGTTTTAACATTTATAAATTAATTTTTAATTACACACAAAATTACACACAAAAAAATACCAAAGGGGGGGTTTAACCCTCCAAACCCCCCCCCCCCTGTGTACGCGCCTGTATATATATATATATATATATATATATATATATATATATATATACTGTGTCTTTGAAAGATCACATGCTTCCACGACTTATTTGTGACATTTTTTAGTTTACAAAAGTGAATGTAAAACATACATAGAGGAGCATATTCATGTTTACCAGTTACACTACACTTCAGTACATTTACTTATATTCAGCTCATGTCTACAACGTGCTTATATTAAATGTAGTGTTATGTGTGATCAGTCCATACGATCCCATGCACAAGAAAAAATCAATGACAGAATTCCTCATAATAGTAAGTTTATGCTTTGTTTTTGAACAACTTTGCTGGAAAGTGTTAGAATTTTTGAGAATAAAATGTTTTATAATGCATAAGTTATAGTGAATTTGTTAACATACCGGTAATGTGTAAGTAGTGATTAAAATCCTCAAACAAATGTATTGGTTGTGATATGCATATTTTATTGTTTGTGTTGTTATGCCAAGTTTTTGGAAAGTTTGAAAGTGCAAGGTCTTGACTATGTTGAGAACCAATTTGTTTTTATCAGTTCTTAATAACGTTTGTTCTAAGGAAGGTAGTTTACATATTATCTCTGAAAAAACTAGATGATTCCTTTGATTTAAAGCTTTTTTTCTTAGCTTTTGAATTGTTGACTCGTGTGGGTCATCATTTAAGTGGGTTTTTAAGTACGATCCCCTGGATTCTGTAGTCGTGCAGAAAATATTCACGCTTGTACTTAGGATTGGCTGAAAGTAGTAACCGATACATACATGTACATCCGGGTCGAAATTCCAATAGGATCCGATCCTATTGGACCATCAGAAACCATTAGAGCTATTGCTGTCTATTGGTTTCAATAGGGAAAGCGAAATGATGGACCCACAGAAACAAATAGAAAATATCTATTAGACCAAACCCACAGAAAAAAATGCTGATGGACCAACAGAAAGCTTCTATTGGACCAACATCCACCCACATCATCTATGGGTTTCTGTTCGTCCATTAGATATTTCTTCTATGATGGATTTCTGTTGGTCCATTATGGGTTCCATTTGGTCCATTAGAGATCTTTCTATGGGTTTCTAATGGTCCCATGTTCTGAATTCCCTATTGAAACCAATAGTCCAATGGCTTCCATTGGTAAATCAATAATGATAAATCAAAATTAGATTTTAGCAACTCTCCACCAAAAAGTTATATTCTAATCTCAATTGCATCAACTCCATCACAAAGATCACTTGAAGTGAGTTTTAGAATATCCTTTATTTTAACTGAATGCTTGTACTATTCTATATAATAAACATACATGAATTGTTTCTTGGTTAGTAATCATTATAATCAATATATCTATTGCAAAAACGTGAATGTAATTGTAACATAATTAAACAAATAATCTATTGGTCATTAGTTGCCAAAAGAAAATAAAAATCACGAAATTGATGTGCATTGTCATAAGTTGCTTAACAAATTGTGATAAATGTAATTTTCTGTGAACGCGTATAAAGTAATCATGAATATGCATGAGATAGATTTAGCTGTTGGTTTCTATTGGTTTCTATTGGACCTATTGGTTTCTATTGGTTTCTATATTTCTTAATTCTATTGGTCATATTGGTTTCTATTGGTTTCTATATTTCTTAATTCTATTGGTCATATTGGTTTCTATTGGTCCCATTGGGTTCTATTGGTTTCATTGGTTTTCTATTGGTCCTATTGGTCCTATCGGTCCTATTGGTCCTATCAGTTCTATTGGTTTCTATTGGTCTTATTGGTTTCTATTGGTCCTATTGGTTTCTATTGGTCCTATTGCTCCTATTGGTTTCTATTGGTCTTTGGTTTCTATTGGTCCTATTGGTTTCTATTGGTCCTATTGGTTTCTATTTCTATTGGTTTCTATGGGTGCTATTGGTTTCTATTGGTTTCTGATGGTTTGAATGGTCTCTATTGGATTCACAGAAACCATTAGAGACCAATAGAATTTTTCTAATGGTTTCTATTGGTCTCTATGGGATTTTCGACCTGGGATATTTATAGAATGGCCATGAACATGAAACTTACATTACTTAGAGTTGCATTTGTGCACCAGGATACAAGTGATACACTTTAAGTAACTTGATAACAATGACAAGGTGTCTTGAAAATACAGGTACATATACCAGGGTTATATCATTTGTTTAGAAGAAACATTTCAATTGAAATATTTTGTATCTATATAGTACCTGTTTGGTACAATCCCACTTTTTAGATTACATATTAAGAAGGTACCAGATCGTGGTAATTTCCGTTTTTTTTCTTAGTCTATCTTCTGAATCAGGATTTTGTCTGTACGTAGCTCTCATTTAGTTTACATTAAAAAATTGTGAAGCAAAATTTGCATGCAGCATTGTTGGTTGAATATATGAATGCAGAATTTCTGGTTTTCATGTAACTCTATCAGCAGCCTTATTTTGAAATGACACAACTAGTTTGGTATACTTTTAAAGGACCTACAATGATAGTCTTCATGTAAGATATAATCAAACCCTGATGAGTCTCAATCCAAAAAGTGGATATCATCCTTCCTTACTAAGAGATCCCAGAGGGTCATGATTAACGGCGAGTGTTCTGATTGGGTTCCCGTCCTTAGTGGGACTCCACAGGGTACGGTCCTTGGGCCTCATCTCTTCCTCCTTCATATCAATGATATTGATAATGGTGTGAAGAGTACTACCAGACTCTTTGCGGATGATTGCTTAATCTACAACACCATAAGATCACCAAAAGATGAGGAAATACTGCAAACTGATCTTAACACCTTGGTCAACTGGGCCAATACGTGGGGAATGACTTTCAACCCGAGCAAATGCACAACTATGCGAGTCACGAGGAGCAGGAAACCAAACAGAACATCCTACCAGATGATGGGAGTCAATCTCGAAGAAACCACACACACCAGATACTTGGGTATAATCATACAAAATGATATGAGATGGAACAAGCAGGTTGAAAATTCAAGAAGTAAGGCCATGAAAATAGTCAACTTCTTGAAAAGGAACTTCTATCAATCTTCAACAAAAACAAAGGAGAAGCTGTATTCTATGCTGGTTAAACCTCATCTTAACTATGCTTCTTCAGCCTGGGATCCATATACGAGCACCAACATCAGCAACATTGAGAGAGTCCAGAATGCAGCAGCTAGATTCGTCAAAAACACTTATAGGTCTACAAGATATTCAAGTGTCACTGCTTTGAAGGACTCGATGGGTTGGATCCCCCTCCAGGAGGAAAGACGAAAGTCTTGTATCACCTGTTTGTACAAAATGATTCACGACTTGATGGACATCAACTACAAGAATTACATCTCAAGGTAGAACGAACAAGACGGGGCCATGACCAACAATTCTATATCAACAAAGTCAGGATGGACGCATACGCTTACTCATTCTTCCCAAGGACAGTTAAGGACTGGAACAGTCTTTCTCCCTCAATTGTAGCCCAACCTTCCTTAAATACTTTGAAATCTGTGCTTAAAACCAACTTAAAACCAGCACCTTAAGTTGGTGGCCGCACATGACGACACACCTCCAGTTTAAACACCTTTACGGCGTCTTTTGGAGGAATCCTACCAAGTACCAAATCTAATGATTTGGCCTGCAAATTAACAGTATATGAGTTTGCTGAACAAAGTAGCTCAAATATTATTTATTTTAATTTAATGTGTATTGAATTAACAACACTGCAGAATAAAACTGTTAGAATATTAGATTCTGTGATACAAGACTAATGTAATGCTGATATACCATAGTAACTTCAGTTTTTGATTATAAATGAAATTAAATGATTCATCACAATTTACCAACATTTAAGTCGCTCAATTGCGCGATGTACACCATCAATTTGGCTCTTTACCTGTAATGATTGTACAGATGACCTAACTTGCAAAAGTTAAAGTAGATATTCATTGATTTTACTGAAACTAACTTTATTTTCATTATTGCAAAGTTGAAACTTTGATTCAACAAGTTGATCAAAATTCAATGCTTGGAAACATTCAAAGTATTGATTATTATAAATTACAAAACGCTTAAATCCAGCCCCGGCATATAGCACCTAAAAAGCTCTCCGAACGCTCCTGAGATGTGTGAGATCACAGTATGGACATGATTTGCACATTAAATGGGACATTGATGTCCCATGACATATCACACATTTTCAGTGCCTGTGTTTTCATCTTCTCTTGAGTTCTTTCTCTTACTTCACTACCGTCAGGCTAAATGTATAATCTATTGCCTCACTCTAAACCCCGTGCATGGTTTTATTTTGATGACAAATGCAGCGGTACAAAAATAAAGGAATCTGTCGCTTGTAAACAAAAGAAGACACCATTGTATATTCAGCTGCACACACCGCGGTATGTTCGGCGTTTCAAGAGGGAACAAATGCCGTCCTTAATATTATCATTCCGGGGGGTTTTCAATTTGAAAGTCTGGTTTCTTTGATTGTTAATTAACCCCTATCCTGTGTATTTACAAGCAAAAGATTTTAGTTATCAGAATCGGGTCATATCCCCTTTTGAATGGTTTGACATGCCATTACATTTTATATGGACTAAACTCATTATAATTTGACAAAATTAGCTTCGCAACTATGTGCATTCTGTATGGGATGTCGTCTGCTTGGGCAGTATTGGTCCATATAGTGACGTCATTAAAACATCGTTATTTTTCCGGCGAATCTCTCGTATATCCCAGCTGCTATGGAGGTGGTTGTATTTGTATTTTTATAAATCACTCGATATGCAGTAGTTGACCTAAAACTTGTACGATGGCCATCTGATAGCTTACCAGTTTCTAGTGATACAGTTGACATATTTGTGATTTTATTTGAATTTCACCTTTAATGCAAAGGTACTGAGCAGCCTTTTCCTGTATCGGTTCCCCTACAAGGAAATTGTGTTGGCATGTTCCATTCTAAAGCTTAGGGGCGAGTTGTCGAACTTGAAACCAACAAAAGCAAATTAAGTGGTAGGTGAAAGAGAGAGAGAGAGAGAGAGTGTGAGAGAGAGAGATAGCGCAATATGTTCATTCGCCGACCATATCAGACCAGTCTAATGTTTGACAAGTTTGTGGAGAGGACTCCTCCTCAAACGAGACTCTCTTTTCAAGTGGAATAGGATTGATATCCAGAATATAATTGATCAAAGGATGACGTATAGTGCTCTCAAGATGTTCTTTGGATTTGAGATTCGTACAGACTCTGTCACAAGTTTGGAAGGAATCTTGTGGAGTTGAGGAGGGTGTGTGTTAGCTCATCAACCCTAGATGTGATCCCTTTGCATGAATCCTATCTTCAGACGTCCATAATTTGACTTGTGTATGATTTCTTTTGGTAACCTTCCTGAATACTAAATTTGCTGTAAAACACACACTAAACTAATCATTCTGTTGAGTCATTGACTGTATGTTCGTGTGAGGTAACTTGCTTGTTTTTCACCCCCACTTCCTTTTGTTAACGGAAGCAACAGGCCTAGGGGCGAGACTAAAACTTTACAGAGATGTGCTAGAACTGTAGTGCAGAAAGTTCCAGCGTCCTTTTGCATGTTGGTTGAACTGAAGTGCCTTTAAAATGAGTGACAAGAAAAGATCCTCATTTGCAAGGCAGTTGTCTACAGATGGAAATCGTGGTGGAAGTCTTCCGAGAGCAACGAGCCTGGTACGTATACCCAGATAGCAAAATATCTGGGGCCCATCTGGGTTTTGTATGGGATGGCTAAAGCCCACGTACGTGGCCCATACAAAAACCAGATGGGCACACATAATGTGCCCCACGTGGGCCCATATGGTTTTTGGTGGTGAAAATTGCACGTCGAACATCGGCTGGGCCCAGCTAAAAACCAGATGTATACCAGATGGGCCTTCCCACCAAAAACCCACAAGTACCAACACATAATTTTATGTGTCCCTTGTGGGCCCCATGTGGGTTTTTGGTGGTGAAAATCGCAAGTCGAACATTGTCTTCGCCCAGCTGAAAACCAGATGTATACCAGATGGGCCTTCCCACCCAAAACCCACAAAATATACCCAGAATTTGCATAATGAATATGGGGTGTGTGCATATCTATGTTTTTTTACAATTTATCTGAATTTACAGGATATTTCCTAATTGCTGATGATTTAGTTATAAGTAATTCATTTCGAAAATACTATTATATGTAAATTGCTAATTATTAGGACATTTCACTACTTTGTATACATTACATTTAATTAAACATGAATTAGGAAAAACACTAACTATGACCTAAAACAGATTCAATAAAATACAAATAATATATGGAAATGTCTCATCACCGCAAAATAACCAAGTCTTCTTAATACCAATGCCTTTAAATTGGAAATTTTAGACAAGTGTGGTTGCCAATGGCAAAATTAATTAGTACAAGAACTACATAAATTACTAATTAAGTCTGCTAATTGGAGCTAACAACTGGTTGAAAGTTGTGCCAAATGGTACGACTGGTCCAGTTAAACCCAACTGGTAACCCTGGAAATAAAAATGGGATAAATGAATTCAGCAACTGGGTAAAAATAGAACCCATTTAAACAATGAAGCCCATTTAGAACCACATTAGCCCATACGGGACCATATCAAACCCACTTGGCCCATATATGGATCCCATATAAAAACCCGCTTATAGAGTATGGGGCCCATATAGAACCCACTTGACCCATATATAGAATGTGGTAGGTCCCACATATAACCCACATGGCCGGCCCATCTGGTGCCCAATAGGTAACCCTTGTGTATATTGATGGGCCAATTGTGGGGCCCATCTGGGGCCCTTGAACCCGGGTGCAGATTGCTGGGCCCCACATGGGGCCCATCTGGGATCCAAATGGGCTAAAAAAAATGGGCCAACGGTGGGCAATAGATGGGCTGGCCCATCTGGGCCAAGTGGGCCAGCCCAGTTGTAACCAGATAGAACCCAGATGGGCCCCACAACATTTTGCTATCTGGGTAAAAACAGTGATCGAAGCGATCCTGATGTATAAAGTGGAAAACACACTTTATGATCTGTTAGAAGAAGAGGAGAATCAAATTGTATGTAATGAAATCCTTATCTTTATCATAATCATGTAATGGAAAATCCCAAATCATGTGTGCTTATTATTATTTTGATGTACATGTATCAAATGAATGCTAGCAAATTCATTGCATTTTCATCATGTGCTGTAGTTTCTCAATTATTGTTTATTTATGTGTTGTCAGAAAACCTACCAGTGTATTTCCATTTATTTGTTTATAAATATATTCATTTAGATTTTTTCTTGTAAAATAATCCCAAACATCTTTGATGTTTAATGGAAGTTATTAGCAAAGAAATACAGTGTTTATTCACTTGAAGACCCTGTATGTAATGTGTTATAACTACAGTTAAATTAAGAACACGATTCTTTAGTAAGAAAAAGTTCATGCTCACTTTTGAGCATTAAAATTAATTTTCTCCCTTTAAAAATAGGCGAGAGATTTGTCAGGCTGAAAACGCACCGGTTCCGTTCAAAGTAAATATGGTGAATAATCCTTGGAAGTACGTGATTTCTTTTCAATCTGAACATAAGATGTGAAGTGTGAAATTTAGTTATAATAGTAAGCAAATAGGGTAATGGTACTCATCATGGCGCCGAGGTGATCTCATCCCGATCCGTAATTACTGAGGCGAGGGCCAGGGATGATGGTAGGGGATGGTAGCCCCGAGATCACCGAGGCGCGATGATAGTTGCCCGAGTAAAGGAGGTTAATATTTGTTTTATATTGGTAGTGTAACGGGAAAATAAAACAAAACAGGATCCAAACAAAACGGGATCCAAATGCAATATCACCGATATTTCTGGGATCGATATAGTCTAGGCCTAGGTCTATCGTAACTTTTTATTTTTGGAGGAGAGCAACGAGCGCCCAAGATGAAGTCTCCATCCCAGCGCAGCATGAAGTTTTTTCAGTGCAGCCGGTGTGATGTGCAAAGCCATCTCGGCATATGGCGCGGCGTGCGCGTAGCTAGGATAGCGCATTGAGAAAAGCAGCTGGAAAAAACATAGTTCGACAAATTGGCTGCCGACTTTCACCTGTTAAATGTGGAAGAATTGTTGAAATTTAACGAAGGAATTGACAGCAGAAACACGAAAAAACAGATCAGGTAGACTCTCTACGGACTTTCTATGTTCCAGGATTTTTGTAAGGAAATAGGTCTAGATCTATAGTCTAAGCCGATTTTGATGATCTTGTTGATCCGGGATCATACGAAGCCTTAACGTCATGACGTTAGACCTCCTTCTCTCGCAGTTCTAACTTCTGCTGGAACTCAGACAATGCAGGCTAGGCCTAGGCCTAGTTTCTTTGTAAAAGTGAGCTGCTCATATTATAAACAGATATAGATTCTAGGCCTAGGGTCTAGACTCTACGGCGCGGCGCTAGGGTAGTTCCGTATCCATTTTTTAGCAGAATCTCAGAATCTCAGAATTGGTGTCCAGACATCTAACGTCTAACTTTAGAGGGGGGTGTCATGTGCATTCAATTAATTGATGCACGGTTCTTTTGGAGGCATAGTCTAGTTTAAAGGTTTGTGTAAAGCTCAGGTTTTTGACGCCTGGCAGGAGGCTGTTCCAGTCGTCTCTTATTGTATTTGGTATGAAGCTATTCAGGTACGCGTTTGTTCCGGCATTGTGTAGTGGGACTAGACGATTGGTATATATTCTCTCTCACAGATCTTGGTGCTTCATGAGGTAACCCGACACATGCTCCGCCGACGATTGCTCCGCCGACATTTACTCCGCAAAACGCGACAATTGCTCCGACGTCAAATGCTCCGCCGACAGTTGCTCCGCCGACAGTTGCTCCGCCGACAATTGCTCCGCCGACAGATGCTCCGCCGACAATTGCTCCGCCGACAATTGCTCCGCCGTCAATTGCTCCGCAAAACGCGACAATTGCTCCGCCGACATTTGCTCCGCAGACATTTGCTCCGCCTGAAGCGACACTTGCTCCGCCGACATTTGCTCCGCCGACAATTGCTCCGCCTGAAGCGACAATTGCTCCGCCGACATTTGCTCCGCCTGAAGCGACAATTGCTCCGCCGACATTTGCTCCGCCGACAATTGCTCCGCCGACAATTGCTCCGCCTGAAGCGACAATTGCTCCGCCGACATTTGCTCCGCCGACATTTGCTCCGCCCAAAAAGTGTCCCATAAACTACAAATGCTACTAGTACTACGACAAATGCTTCGCCGACAATATTTTCTTTACACCTATTTTTTTCGTTTCTTTTTTTCTTCTTCATTTTCTGAATGCATTTCTTGAAATAATGTAGATGAAATGAAATGAGTGAATGTTGATGAAGTGGGAGGAAAAAGGAGTTACCTAAAAGTCATTTCGAATATACTGAAATAACTTTCCATCTATCACTGTACGTCCCATATAATGTATACTAAACACTCATTACATGTCGTGGGAAGTTTTTAAAAAAAAGTAGAGCAGCAAGCCACATTCCCCAATACGTGCATACCTCCTAGTTAATTTCAAGTAGCTCATCAATATGTAATACCTGAAATTACCTCGATCAATGCATCTTACTAGGTAAAGCATCATACAATGTAATAGGTCATCATGGAAGTTTAGAAAATAAGTAAGGGGGATTTACCAAGTGTTGATCTTTTTAAGAGTTTTATAAAGAAACAAAAAGATATTGAATATTTCTCAGCGAAAAAAAGGAACAAGCTTGTTTCGCATTTTAAGAAATGACGATTTGACTTATGATACTCATGTTGATTTAACTTTTATTCCTGTGCCCCCTCACTCCCCTTTATGCACTGGAGTTCAAACTATGATTTATATGTGTACAGTGTATTTTTTTTTACTATAATGTTTTTTTTTTCTAACTTTCTTGTCCTTTCATTATTGTTAGTTGTTCTTATACATATTGGGTTTTTTGTTTGTCTAATTATTACCAATGACTTGTAAATATGTAATTTTTATATGATTGAAAATTTGATAAACACACAAATATAAAAAAAAAGTTTAGAAAATAAGGGCACTTATATACGTAAGGAAGAGAACCCATTCAGACGGGGAAATGAGATGGCAGCCTTTCTGCTTATTCACATTTATACAAATCATTTTGTTGCAGTTTGATGTTAGTTCTTCATGATAAGCCAATTGCTCTTCTTCCGGTGGCTTCGTGAGTCCCTTAAATTATTTAGTGAAAACAAAGTACTCGAATGAAACGGAGTGTTTTGCACACTAACATATATATATATTAAAGCTACATACACTTAACTAAAGGAAAGAAACCTTTAGAAAATGGACTGGATATTATTGAAAATATTATTCTAAACAAGAATGTACTACATGATTGTATTACTTTACGTTTCAATTTCACGAGAGAAATAGAACTCGAGAGGGGGAGCAGAGAAGAAGTGATGGAAATGAAAGAAGACTAATAGCATGAGAGGAAAGAAAAGAGCAAAGAAGACAAGAAAACGGTGTAAACAGGAAAAGGAGGAGCATGGGAGAGAGAGAAAGAGAGAGAGAGAGAGATAGCCTTTGGATCAGCTAATGAGTAATACATGAAACAGATTTTGAGCGGAGTAATTATCTTTCGCCGGAGAACTTGCGTAAGGAGCTATAATTTTATTTTTTATTTTTTTAAATCAAACATTATG